CCAGGCCGAGAGAGAATGTCAGTCTCCCATGGAGAAACTTCCAAGGGCCTACTCCTCCCCGTTCTCCTCCACCCCTTCCCTTCCCTTTCCGAAATCGTTCAGTCCTGAAGCTATTAAGTGGGACAGAGTAGGTAGATGCCTGTAACATGGGGAAGGGAGGGCAGGTGGCTCACAGCCCAGACAGAACAAGAGTGTCCAGAGTATGTGGACAAGTACCCGATGTGACATGTTTGAGCCCAAGCTGGTAAGGAAAGCAACCCACAGGGGACTGGCCAGCATGTGGCTCCTTTTCCTTCTCCTTCTGCCCATTCCTGGCTCTCCTTCAGGGCACTGCTCTTCCTGGAGTAAGGAACAAATATGGAGAAGCAGAAGGCAATGAGCCAGCTTTGACAGCAGCCAAGGCTTGGTCCATTCGGCACAACATGCTCTGCGACCACCCTGCCAGGCTCGAGCCCAGCGAAGCAGCCTCCACACACGGAGACTGGACCATCAGCTGCCTCTCTTCCCCCATCTCCTCATCTGTAAAGCGGGCATGTCAAGCCCTTGGCGCAGCATCCGGCCCACAGTCAGTGTTCAGTGGACGGGAGACGCCTGCCCGGCAGCTCCTTTCTTCAGGCCTCACAGGGTAGCTTTGAACAGGCAAAGCCAGAGGAGCTAGGGATGTCCCCTGTTGCTGTCTCCACGATGGCAAAGGGGCAGCTTGAAAACCTGATAGGGGCAGCTTGGCTTTATGTCAGAATGTGAAACACACCAGCCCCTCAGCCCAGCTGTGACACCTCTTGGAATCTGCTCTGCACTGTTGCCCGAACGAAGGCACATTCCCATGGTGTTCAGTGAGGCACCACCAGTGATAGGAAAATGCCAGAAGTCAGCAACGTGATCACCAACAGGGGACTGAGGCCCAGCGTGAACCGGCCCACAGGTGATGAAGAAAGTCAACGTAGAATCGTATTTGTGGGCTGATGCCATTTGTGTGAAAACATAAAATAACTATACAGAAAACAGTGCATTCCATCCATAGATAGGTATTCCAAAAATACACACAGCCGCATAGATATCTGAGTGTGTATGTAGAAAATGAACATTTCTATGCAGGGGAAAAGTCGGGGATATAAACACCAAGCAGAAGGCATGTCTGCAGAGTGGCGTGACGAGGGACAGGAATGTTTACATTCCAAGAGTGCAGTACTGTTTGAATTGCTGGTGAAGAATTCAGGCCAGTTTTCTCATCAAAAACCTAACGTCAGGATGCTTAGGAGACACAGACTGAAGCACTTCAGGGTAAGGCGCAATGACTCAGCAATAATAAACAGGTAATACACATGAATATTTCATCCAGGTTAAAGAGGGAGGGAGACAAATGGGAAAACATGTTTTTTTTTTGTGACGGAGTCTCACTGTGTCACCCAAGCGGGAATGCAGTGGTGCAATCTTGGCTCACTGCAACCTCCGCCTCTTGGGTTCAAGGGATTCTCCTGCCTGTCTCCTGAGTAGTTGGGATTAAAAGTGACTGCCACCACGCCTGGCTAATTTTTGTATTTTTGGTACAGATAGGGCTTCACCATGTTGGCCAGGTTAGTCTTGAACTCCTGACCTCAGGTGATCTGCCTGCCTTGGCCTTCCAAAGTGCTAGGATTACAGGCATGAGCCATCACGCCCCACCCTTATGTTTGAAATATTTTTTTTAAGTTTAAAATATTAAATAAAGATCAAATGAAACACAGTCAGGTTCCTGGGGAGCCCACTGCAGATGCAGGTGGAAGATCCTGGAAGGCCCCGCAGCATCTGGGCAGGGCCTGTGGCAAACCAGAAAGGGCTAGGGTTTAAATCCAGGTTCTAAATGGCTTTATTTTTCCATGACTTTTTTCCCCTAATATTCAATGTCCTTGCAATACTGACGGATCCTAGGGTTTGAATCCACAAAGAATCACAAATGCAGTTGATGGTCTGACCAAGGATCTGAAGAAAGCCCGAGGTTGAGCCTGGTGACCCCTATTGGCTTTTACAGTGCAGCCATGCCACGGCTTGGGGACATGGCTCAAAGCAGAGTCCCTCCTCTCATGATCCAGCCACAGAGGCTTGCCTGAGTCCTTGGGAAGATTCTAGATCAGGTTTCCCAACCGATGCCATCCTCACCTCCGATGATCTGCTCCAATGGCATCTGTGACTCTGCCAAAGCCCTGCTCTCTGGAAAGAGCAAACAAAGCAATTTCAGCAAACAGTGAAGGATGGGCCCTGCTCTTACAGGAAGCCCACGTTCACCCATAAACGCATCATCCCGCCAAGGAACATCTTCGTTCATTTTCTCTACACTCTTCACCCAGGGACCTAGGGGTAGTAGTTCCACCAAGGTAGGAACAGAGCAGGAAGGAAATTGCTTATAAGCATTGACAGCTCCCAACACTGAGCCAGTGTTGCTTAATTAATGGGAATGCTGCTGGGATTCCTCAGGCTCCTCTCCCTCGAGCAAATGGACAACTCCGCTTTAGAAACATCATTGCCTTGGAAGTAAATCCTCAGCTCTGCTTGGCACTGTTTGTCCTTCATCAAAAGAGTAACCCAGAATAATTTCTCCCCACTTCAGAGTGTACCCCTCAACTCCTTTTTCAATGAACAAGAAAGTGATTCTGAATTAACCTCTGCCTAACTTCTGTTTCAAGCCACACATGGCTTCACTCACTTCAGAAGGGCCTCCAGTTCCCGCTTGACTCTGCCCACCACGGGTGGCCCCCAGAAGGTGAGGGCTGTGTACAGCTGCACCAGGGAGGCCCCTGCCCGGATCTTCTCCAGCGCGTCCTGCCCGCTGCTCACACCACCAACCCCAATTATGGGAACTCGGCCTATAGAAAAGCACACGGTAACACCATAAAAAAGGATGTGGCTTCAGCCCCCCAGCCCCCCACAATCACAGCCGATTAGAGAATTATGATTCCCATCACAACCCAAGAACCCAAACCACATGCAGATCGGCAGACAGATGCCAGAAGCCTTGCCTTGGGTGAGTGTGTACATCTCTCGAATGGTCTGAGTTGATAAATCCCGGAGGGGCTTCCCACTCAGCCCTCCTGTTTCAGAGCGCAGGGCACCCCGGAGGCCAGCAGGGCGACTCACAGTGGTGTTTGTGACAATCAGCCCATCGATGCCCAACTACAGTGCGAGATAGAGAAAAAGCCGTGAGTCATGGCACTGCAGGACTCAGAGGTGCTTCTCTGGAGGTCAAAAGCAGCAGCTGGGCTACACTTACAGCCCCCAAAGCAAGAGCTACACCAGACCCCACTACTCATCTTTTCCTCAACAAGTTGTAAAATGAGCCATAATGTGACCACGCTGACCACCCATAACATTCCGCTAGGACAGGGTCCAGTCCTTACAACAACCCAATTATAGTGTCTTGTCTGAGGCCCCCAGGTAGTAAGTGGTGGAACCAGGATTTGAACCCATGGTGGCCAGGCTCAATCAGTTTCCACTACTCTCCTATGCCACAGAGACCTGCTGTTCAGACAGGCTGGAGAGAGGAGTGAGATAAGGAATTTTCAGTCCCATCTGAGACTGGCCAAGGACCCAACCAAGCTCAAGCCTTAACCTTGCTGGATGGAGATGAGGAGAGACAGGAAGAGGCATGAGAAAAAGACTCCTTCGAGCATTTATTCCAGTGTTCGCTTTTGACTACAGGGTGAGTTACACCAACCCAGCCTTCAATATCAAGGAGAGGAAATCACAAAGGCTGCTGTTCTGGGCTAGCCCAGCTGGCCAAACGGCCTCTGTAGACCACTGGGGGGTGCACCCCGGGCCCAGACCCCCACTCGAACCTCTTTGACCACACTGGCAATGTCCTCCTTGTCCTGGGAGGTGAGGTCAGGAGCGATCTTCACCAGCACTGCCGGCCTGTGCACTCCCTGCAAGGCATCCCTCTCCTGCAGCACCTAGGGTGACACAGAGCCAGAGCTGGGGACCTTGCAGACCACAGCCCACAATGCAGCTGTGACCTACAGGGCAGGTCAGGGTTTCCACAAAAGCAATCAGACTAAAGTAGGAACAAGTTCTCCTTTTCAGGAAACCCAGCCCTCAGACATGTGAGGTGCACCATCAAGATGGGATTCGATTCCATTTTTTTAGGCCAAGGGATCCCCATGGGCATTGGCTAATAACTTAAGGGTTTTCCAGACATTTTTTGAGACAAGTCTCACTCTGTCACCCATGCTGGAGTGTAGTAGCATGATCACGGCTCACTGTAGCCTGCATCTCCCTGGGCTCAGGCGATCCTTCCACTTCAGCCTCCAGAGTCCCTGAGACTGTGGGTGTGCGCCACCATGCCCAGCTAATTTCTGTATTTTTTTAAGTTGGGGTTTTGCCAGGTTGCCCAGACTGGTCTCAAACTCCTGGGCTGTAAGTAATCCACCCACCTCGGCCACCCACGGGGCTGGGATTACAGGCATGAGCCACTGTGCCCAGCCTCTTTTAGACTTTTATTCCTAAAAGATAACCAGGAAATATTACCACAAGTACTAGGTGCTGAAGTCCTTCACTCAGAGCTCTGGGTGCTACGGTCAGGGAGACAAATGAGAGATACGGTCTCTGCTCTCACAGACCCCGTGCTTTACAGCAGCAGGGACACATAATTTGTCAACATCGTGTATAATCATCGTCAGGACAGGGGATCAGAGGGGGCTCCGGGAAGGCATAGCCAGAGGTCTTACTGGTCCAGATGCTAAGGATAGCTTCTGAGGGCAATGCTGAAACCGCCCTAGAGAATGAAGGGTAGCAGGTAGGACAGGCTGGTGGGACGGGGCCTGGCGAAGAGGTGCAGTTACCCACCTTGGTCAGCAGGCGGCGCAGCTCGGCCTTTCCCTGAAGGCTCCGCAGCCCCGCGGTGTTGGGGCTGGACACATTCACCACCAGGTAGTCAGCCAGCGGACCCAGCACGCGCACCCCTTCTGCATAGTCTGCCGTGGCGTCCGCTGAGGTCTTGTTCTTCCCCAGGTTGACCCCCAGCGGCAGTCCATCTGCAAACATCGCTGGTCAGGCCTGAGCCCCGCACAGCATTTCCTGTGCCACCTTCTGAGGCTGTCCTTGACCAGACCACCCATGGACTGCTGTGTGGGAATTGCCCCCAAACCTGACCTGCCCCACACCGGCTGACAGGTGCTCCACTGGCCTGGGCCTGCCTACTGACCAAAAACCACTTGCTGCCTGCCTAGCAAAGTCTGGGCAGCTATCACAATGTTTTGCTACATTTTGCCTTATCTATCTATCTATCTATCTATCTATCTATCTATCTATCTATCTATCTATCTGTCTATCTATCTATCTATCTGTCCATTCATCCATCCATCCATCCATCCTGGGTTCAGGCAATTCTCCTGCCTCAGCCTCCTGAGTAGCTGGGATCGCGCCACCATGCCCAGCTAATTTTTTGTATCTTTAGTAGAGACGGGGTTTCACCATTTTGACCAGGATGGTCTCGATCTCTTGGCCTCGTGATCCACCTGCCTCAGCCTCCCAAAGTGCTGGGATTACAGGCTTGAGCTACCGCACCCAGCCTGCCCTTTTTATTTTTAAAATTTTTATGAAAAATGGACAAATAAGTGCAAATACTTATGGTACAAAGATAGGCCTCATAAATTGAATAAAACTGAGAACAAACAGAACTCAGTAGGACATCAGGCCGGCGACGCTCACCTCAAGGGATGCTTGTTGGTCTTGGCTCAGCCGACTGGATGTGCAGTTGTGAAGAAAAAGCAAAGTGAAAGAGGAGGCATACAATACTGAAAACCAGGCCAGGCATGGCGGCTCACGCCTGTGATCACAGCACTTTGGGTGGCCAACGTAGGAGGATTGCTTGAGCCCAGGAATTCAAGACCAGTCTGGGCAAAATGGCGAAACCCCATCTACAATGAAAACATCAGCCGGGTGCAGTGATGCACTCCTGTAGTCCCAGCTACTCAGGATGCTGAAGTAGGACTGAGGCCGCAGTGAACTGTGATCACGCCACTGCACTCCAGCCTGAGCAGCAGAGCAAGATGCTGTCTCAAAAATATATATATATACTGGAATTTTTTTTTTTTTTTTTTGAGATGGAGTCTCTTCACTCTACTGCCCAGGTTGGAATGCTGTGGCACAATCCTGGGTCACTGCAACCTCCGCCTCCCGAGTTCAAGCAATTCTCCTGTCTCAGCCTCCCAAGTAGCTGGGATTACAGGTACGCACCACCACACCCAGCTAATTTTTTTATTTTTAGTAGAGACAGGGCTTCACCATGTTGGCCAGGATGGTCTCGATCTGACATCATGATCTACCTGCTTCGCCTCCCAAAGTGCTGGAATTACAGGCGTGAGCCACGGCACCCGGCCTAATTTTTGTATTTTTAGTAGAGATGGAGTTTCATCATGTTGGCCAGGCTGGTCTCAAACCCCTGACCTCAAGTGATCTGCCTGCCTCAGCCTCCCAGAGTGTTGGGGTTACAGGTGTGAGCCACTGCACCCGGCCAAATATTTTCAATTATCATGTCTAAAAATGTGGAGGTGTAATTGTTTCTAACTTCTTTTACTTCTCTGAGGAAAGGGACTCTCCCTCATGTGACAACTGAGGGAACCCTGTATCTTCCGTGCTCCCGGGACAACCTGATCGCTCCCCTAGCCTGGGCATCATTATTAACACCTGCCCCTTTTTACTCTCAGGAGGGTCTCAGTTTGCATGTAAGCCACAAGGTCAGCTCACTGAAAAGTCCACAGGACTCACTATCAGTGGACTTGCATTTCAGACTTCCAGAAAAACATTTTCAGAAACACTATGTGTAAAAGAAAAGGGTTGTCTGCACTTGATTTCTCCTAAGATACTCATATCTGCACAGGGAGTGGTACATCAATGGTACAGGCTGTTTTTTTTCCATCTGAAGGTTGGGGAAAGACCTAGAACAAGTAGCTCACAAAATGTGTTCCCAGGCCAGAGAGGATCAAACATCTGCTGTACCACTAACCACCTTCTCACGCCCCAGCACACCCTCTCATCTCAGCTAGAAAGTAAATGAGATTAGTGTAGCTACCTTCCAGGGTGGGGACTGGAGGAGGGGATCAGAACCCTACTGGAAGCCAGGAACAGTGGCTCATGCCTGTAATCCCAGCACTTTGGGAGGCTGAGGCAGGCGATCGCTTGAGGTCAGGAGTTCAAGACCAGACTGGCCAACAAGGTGAAACCATGTCTCTACTAAAAATAAGAAAATTAGTTGGGTGTGGTGGCAGGCCCCTATAATCCCAGCTACTCCAGAGGCTGAGAAAGGAGAATTGTTTGAACCTGGGCGGCAGAGGTTGCAGTGAGCTGAAATCATGCCACTGCACTCCAGCCTGTGCAACAGAGCCAGACTCTGTCTCAAGAAAAAAAAAAAATCAGTTAGAGAAAATGGTTATCATAAGATCTCCAAGCCTCCCATCAAGCCAAGACCATTTGTAAGCTTGAATTCTTTTCCACAAAAGTAAACTGGCTTGAAGGAGACTATCACTTCCATGTAGCTAATGGATTAGAAGTCATCTGCCCAAACTGACAAGATTTGGGAGTGGACAGAAATTGCTAGATTACTCTGTCCCCAAAGGGCACCAAAGCTTTTATCAACGCATGTTCCTTGGTATGGTGCTGACAAGTGCTGTCATCAAGGTCCCTAACCTGCTGGCAGACATGTCCGTGCCGAGCGCTGCTGCAGTCTGCTGACCAGGAGGGCCGGGAAGGAGGGCTGGGCAGGGAAGAACAGGGGATAAAGCCAGGACACAGCACTGCAGACACCGAGAAAAAAAAGCAAGCATGAAGGCAGGCGAGCATCACAAACCGTGCAGGTCCTGTGATGGCCTCCAAAGCTCCCCACATGGGCGGCTCTGCAGTATAGCAGGGTTCAACCCAAGCCAGGGGTTTCCAAAAGATCACTTCCTGTTCCCCAAATCCGACACTGCTCAGTGCCCTTTCCACCTCACTTCCTGAAATGAATCCCATGCGGTTTCTTCCTCCTGCTACCAGGACTATCTGGGACGGCAGAGGTTGCAGTGAGCTGAAATCATGCCACTGCACTCCAGCCTGTGCAACAGAGACACCCTGGAAGGAGTTTCAGAGGGACCCAAAGAAGAAAATAGTCACTACTGAGCCGCAGCCCCACACAATCCCAGAGCGTACCAGGGCCATTAAGGTTGGGGCAACACAGGGTACGACCACTAAGTACATCCGGAGAGAGACGAGGCAGAGGCCACAGAGAACACCCGTGTGGCTGAAGGCACCTTCCAGAATGTATGTTGTTTTTGTTTTTTTCTTAGAGAAATGGGATCTCACCATGTTGCCCAGGCTACTCTTAAACTCCTGAGCTCAAGTGATCCTCCCACCTTGGCCACCCAAAGTATTGAGATTACAGGTGTGAGCCACCACATTGAGCCAAAGTTGAGCACTGTTTCCAAAACAAGTCATGACGATTATTTTCCCAAATGCTGATATTAGTTATCCTTGAGTAGGGAGGAGTATCTGTTTCTTGAACTTTCTGTCTTTACATTTCTCTGTATTTACTAAGTCTTCTATGATTAATGAACAATATTTACACAGCAGACAAAAAAAAAAGGGAGGACAGAGGGGACCAGAGGAAGATGACGCTCAAGTCCTGCTCACGCCGTCACTGCCCGTGAGATCACAGCCCAGCGCTTTGCTTCGTTTGCTGTCCGGCCTCCCTAGTTACAGTCACGGGTTACACAATGAGGCAGAAGCAAAGTGAGTATTTGCTAAATTGTGAAATCCAGTTAAACTCTTGGAGCCTGTGTGGGACCAGGAAGATCCCTCTAGAAGGCATTTTGGTGGTTCCCTAGCGGTTTTTGCTATTGAGCTCAGGTAACCACTGAGTTCCTTAGTGGTTTTTGCTGTTGCTCAATCATGTTTATTTCACTAGAAACGTTCCCAGCGTTTCTCCCACGTTTCCTCCTAATCAATAAGAAAGGCCCGCTGACACAACCACACTTTACCTTCTGTGAGCTTGGCCTGCTTCTGCTGTCTGGCCCGTAACCTTTGTTCCACCGCTGAAAGCCCGTGACTGTTAAATCCATACCTGTAGAGAACAAGCAGATGGGAGGGGCAAAGTGAGAGGGCAGAGGATTTAAAGAGACTGCTCCATGGCCATTTCCTGTATACTTAAGACTTTCAAACACAAGAGAAAAAAATCACAGTCAATTCTACATTTTCAGGGTGTAAACACCCCTGGGGCTCCTAGAGAACTTGCCAGGACACCATCCAATACCCAAGGAAAGATTAAAATTTGCAAAGGCTCAGCCAACTGGCATTGGAAACAGCCCAGGCTCAGCAGCAGCTGCCCCAGACCTGCTGGATCACCACTCCTTACCCAGCCACTGAGAATCGCACATGCACTTGCCACCTGCTGCTGGGCTCCCCAACAGCCTCCTGAGGCCCCTGCAGCCACCTCCATCTCCCTACGCTTTCTGCTTGTGAAAATCACATCTCTTCCTAGCTCAGAGCGAATGCTCCCTCTCCTCCTGCACAGAGCTCCCAGCTACAAAGGACTCCTCATCCCCCTGGCCTTCCTACCTCTATCCTGGCTCAGGATAGATGCATACATATATGCTCAAGGTCTCGTACTAGGTTACAATCTTCTTGAGGGTGAGCAGCATCTCATACCTCTCTCATTCCTCTGTCACTGTCACTAGACACTCCCCGAAGGCAAGGGCCTCATCTCTCTTTCATCCCTGTGTCCCCAGCCTCACCGTGTGTGTTGACCTAGTAGCCAGTCCCCTTCCTCTTCCTTCTAGTCAATAAAACTCACCTTTCCTGATACAGGGTAAAATGCTAATGACTCCTTTCCCAGCCTTGCTGGCAAGTGAAACACAAATGTGTACCCAAATGTGGACATGGAGACACTAGTGAGGCCTACTGGGAGCCTCTGAGAGCAGCCCCCAGCCCCTCCGCTCTTCCCTTCTGCTCTTGAGTGTCCATGTAAGAACATAACATTTGGCTGGGCACGGTGGCTCATGCCTGTAATCCCAGCACTTTGGGAGGCCAACGCAGGCAGATCATGAGGTCAGGAGACTGAGACCATCCTGACCATGGTGAAACCCCATCTCTACTAAAATACAAAAAAAACATTAGCCAGGCATGGTGGCACACACCTGTAGTCCCGGCTACTCAGGAGGCTGAAGCAGGGGAATTGCTCGAATCTGGGAGACAGATGAATGAGCTGAGCTCCTGCCAATGCACTCCAGCCTGGCAAAAGAACAAGACTCCATCTCAAAAAACAAAACAAAACAAAATATACTTGCAGCTGAGGTCACTCTCTGATAAGCTAAAAGGGAAGGCCCAGAGAAGTGGGACCAGAGTCTCAGCGTTGCCCTGGTGCTCAACCAAGCCGGGACCTGCCCATCACACCTGTTATGAGAAGAAAATAATATCAAATGCCTGTTGTTTAAGCCACTTTGTTAAAGCCAAAAGCATCTATAATAACAGATACAGCGGCACACATATGTGATGACTTCATACATTCACCCGTTCATTCAGCAACTGTTGAATGAACTGCTGCGCAGCCAGGAGGCCACATACACACAGTGCTCAGAGCACGATCTCACTCCTGCTCACCTACAGGATTCACCAAGTACCATCATCTCAGCACCTGCAGTTATCTGTAGCAGCTGAATGATATGCAAATACATTTTGCCTGGCCAATTCTGAAGATATTGATCTCCACCCACAATGCAGCAGAAAGATCAATAACTTGATCTCTAATGCTGGAGAATTTCCCTGAAACAAGCATAATAAAGCAGGAAGCACGGCCAAGTAACCATCCTACAGGTCTGTCTCCCAGGAGGCTACCAGCGGCCCCAAAGATGCCCTTCGAAATCTCCCCAAGGAAGCTCTTCAAAATCCTCTTCCAAAAAGTAGGCACTTCTTCACTTTTTGGGTTTGCTCTGGTAAAAATTGCCCAGGGATGACAAAGGGAGGGGCCTTCTACAGTCTAGAAGGATCTCCCACTAAGAGCAGCTATGCATGTTGCAGATCACTTTCTCCTGTTTGCTCAAGGCTGGGGCTGTGCTGTCCAGTACAAGCTTGCTGGCCACGTGCGGCTGCTGGCTGCTGGGAATGCAGCTGGTCCAGAGGGACAGGTGCTGAGAGGAAAGTACACACTGGCTCTTGAAGACTTGGGACAAGCAAAAGAAAGTAAAAATAGCCCATTAATAACTTTTATGTTGTTTTAAATATATGTTTTTTAAATACTTGTAACATATTAAATATAACTAAATTATAATTTTAAGTAAGTATCAATTTCACTTATTTCTGTTTACTGTCTTAATGTGGTCACTAGAATACTTTACATCACATATGGACTCATATTACATTTCTCTTGCACAGTGTGGGGTAAGGGCATTGGAGAAACAACATGGGCAGAGCAGAGACTCTAAAGTCCAGTAAGCCCAGGCCGTGCCCAGGCTCTCCTGCTTACAGTCTCCGTGACTGAAGCTGAGTTATTTGGCTCCACGAGCCTCCACATACACAACTGTTAAATGGACATGACAAAGCCTGCTTTTCAAGATGGATGCCCGGGGCACATAGTAGATGCTCAGCAGGGTTCCTGATCGTTCCAAATGACAGAAGAATGTCCACACTGTATGACAGAAAACAACAGACGCAGATCTTACATGTCCGAAAGTCCGGCTGGAAAGAGGGCATCCTCCGTGAACTCTGGGCCACTCACCTACCTGTTAATGACAGCTTCGTCCTCAGGGAGGCGGAATACTCTGGGTCTGGGGTTTCCTTCCTGAGGTTTTGGAGTCACACTTCCTATCTCAACAAAACCAAAGCCCATCTTATAAAGTCCGTCCACGGCTTCTCCATGCTTGTCAAATCCTGCAGCAATTCCTACTGGATTTCGGAACTTATGGCCCAGAACTCTCACTTCCTGGGAAGAGGAAGACAAAGTGAGAGGCACACAAGGCTACCCCGCCGTGTCTCAAAGCATGCTTCCTGGCACGGCTACATCAGAATGACTCAGGAAGCTTGTGAAACCTCAGATCTCAGGGCCCACCCCCCAAGGTCAAAATCCTTAGCAGAGGAATGGAGCACTGGGGGAACCTATTTTTAACAGTGCCAGCTTTCCAGGGGACTGTGACGCCTGCTAGAGTTTGAAAACCATTAGGATTTATTATTAGCAAGCCTGGGGGAAGAAAGGATGTTTTTACCGTGTGTTGAATGAACAAAAGACGAGCACTGTCTTTTCCAGTTGTGGTTAAGGTTCATACCTTGTTGTCAACTAGCCTTGGTGCGAGAGAGTAGCTCACTGCTGTCAGGCCCTAAGTAGTGCTTCCCTGAAACCACGGCATGTCAAGCAGCAAAACCCTTTGATCAGCTTAATAAACATCAGCTCCAGCTGTGTCCCTCTTCATCCAGGCTGGTAATAAGCCCCAGCCACGTGCCCCACCCTCCCATGGGAAACCAGAGGAAGGAAGGTGAGGTGTTCAGCTGGGCAGAACTGACTGACGGGCTTCGTGACCTTTCAGGAGACTAGCCAGGGCCTCCCAGGGGGAGCACCAAAGGATCCTGGAAGCAGGGCGTTAAGAGGGATGCTCCAAGAAGGAAGAATAACAACAAATGAAGGTAAGAATGTTCATAGCACCTCGGGACTGGGAAGAGACTGGGGGCTGGACTAGACCAGGCCCCGCTCTCAGATGTGGCGGTGAAACTGGCCTGGCACGGGGCCAGGGCATCTGACTATTCCAAGTGTACCCCCAGGGGATTCTAACATGCCTGACAGAGGCAAAGCGTGGAGAGCTAAACCAGGAAAGTTGGGGTGAAATCATCAAGAGTCCTGGCTACCAGTTAAAAAGTCTGGGTCACATTCTAAATGAGCTTCTGTAAGAGTGGGCCCACACCGCAGTGTTCAGGGCAATAGCTCAGGCATCTGTGTTTACACAGACACAGCTATGGCCCTCAAGCACACTGCACTTCCTTCCAAATTCACCCCATCTCTGTGTCCCACTCATTATTTACTCACATTTTCACTGGTTCCAGGGCTCTCAGACTAGCAGTCTGGGGTGAGGATGGCTTAAAGGAGTGTTCTTTCTGAGCCTACAGTGCCTGTTAGTGTGTGAGCACGGTGAGTCAGGCAAAGTGACACATCTGCTCAACACCGTAAAATCATAAAGTGAAAAGGAGTTTAAGGTAGGAAGGGGAAATGCAGTGAAGGCCCCTTTAGTTTGTAACAGTGACCCTTCCCACCAGAGTTCTGAGTGCTCCTTGTTTGCATTTTCACACACAAATCTTTCTGATGTCCTTCCGTTTGGTAAGAAGCCTCTCAAAAGGAAACTGCGGAGGCTTCCATGAGGATGCAGCTTCCACAAGGACAGGGATTCTTCAATTCGGTGTCCTGCACTAAGCCCGCAACACAGCCCACATCAGTGCGTGGAGAGCGCCCGTATGCTGGACAAGCAGCTGAGTGAGGCTGAGGCTGGGACTAGACCCTCCTGCCTCACACCTGCGCTTATTGATTCTGGCAGCTTCCCCATGTAGCCGAGAGGAAGACTGAACTACCTGAAGGACAGGACAGCAAGGCAGGACAGCGGCCAAGGGGCAGGAAGCCAGCGTCAGACTCCGTGGGTTTGAATCCTAGTTCTGCTACCCGCTAGCTGTGTGACTTGGGTTACTTTTTGTTACTACTCTGTTCCTTGGTTTCCTGATCCCTGTTGGGGGACGATAACAGAACCCAGCTCACGGAGCAGTTGGGAGGATCACACAGGAACACCACTTAACACCATCCCATATATGCAACATGACATAAAATAATAATGCTCAGACTGAATTCCAAATCCCCACTGCCCACTTGGGGTTCTGGTTTTCAAAAAGATCAGTCCCAGCTGAGTTTAGGAGACTTCAGCCTTCACCTTTGCATTTAATGCACAGGGTGTCCCGGAACACCTACCAGCATGTCAGAGTCTTGAAATGTGGCCCGAGGAAGGAGCCCCAGGGAGGTGAAGCGAACGGCCAGTCTGTGGGCTGACTCTGGGTCCAGCAGGCCCTGCAGAGCCGGCATCAGGTGTTCGGCATAGAAACGCTCATCCCCCGTGGCCACCAGGTAGGAGGCGAAGAGAAACCCTCCACCCCCCAGGATGACCACAGCATCCTGGGCCCGCTTCTGCAAAAAAAAAAAAAGAGCCTATTAGGGGAGCCCCCGGGCCAGGCTGCAACACCCTCCCTGAGCCCTTCACAGCCAGGCACGCAGAGGGCATAACGGCAGGCCACATGAAACAAATGCCCTTAGCCTTTGGCTGCCACTAGCCTCTACAGTCGGAGGCTCTATCTACATTTCTGCGTACATACCCTCTTCCGGCCATAAAGGCTTTCCTGGGACTCCAGGCCAGAGATTTCAGGAGGGACAGTACCGTTTCCTAGGGGGATTGTGGTGGATATCGTTACTGGTTACAGTGACAGGGCAATGCTAATAGACGTGGTGGGGAGGAATCCATAAAGTCAGACATCCTTCTGGGCCTGGGACTATCTGACATGAACTGTGCCACTTCCTGTGTGACTTCTGAACGTCCTACTGACATCTGTGTGGGGAAAAAGTTATCTGTTCATATTATCTGAACCAAACCACATTCTACCACATGAACACAAACTGTCTTCCTTGACCTCCTGGTTTCAAGCGATCCTCCCACCTCAGCCTCCCCAAATAACTGGGACCACAGGTACATGCCACCAAGCCCAGCCAATTTTTTGAAGTCTTGCTATGTTGCCCAGGCTGGTCTTGAACTCTAGGGCTCAAGCAGTACTCCTGCCTTGGTCTCCCAAAGTGATGGGATTATAGGCGTGAGCCACCATGCCCAGCCTCCACATGGTTTTCACATACAGTACAAGTATCTTGTAAATTGAGGGGCAACTGTCCAGTTTTGCACAGAACATTCCCAAGAATTGTTTACCATTTCAGAAAATCTCATCGGGAATGGTACAGTGCTTTGCTGGGGTGTTTGATGATGTCACACACCTGTGCACTCACATTTCTAAATAGAGGCTTAAACAGAACTATCTCACTAGGGGAATCATATAGAATATTTACATACTGCAATACATGTGATTTTATTAATATAAACTACTTTTAAAATTTCTCCTTTATATTCCAGTTGGGGTATTAATTATGCTGGCTTTTTAAAGCTGTACTTGGTGGCTCATGCTTGTAATCCCAGCACTTTGGGAGGCTGAAGTGGGAGGATTGCTTGAACTCAGGAATTTGAGATCAGCCTGGGCAACAGAATGAGACCCCCGTCTCTACAAAATATAAAAAATTAGCCAGGTATGGTGGTGCACCTGCCATCTCAGCTACTTGGGAGGCTGAAGTGGGTGGATCCCTTGAGCCCAGGAGGTCCAGGATGCAGTGAGTCAGGACTCACTTTCAGGTGTCTCCACGCTATGCTCATTCTGTCAAAAGTGGTTCACAATGCTTTTCGTTAATTATCACTGACAGATGCTGAATTCGTGAGTCCAGTCATTCATCAAATACTGATGAGCAAAAATGACAAAACAGATCTTGCCCCTGCCCTAGTGGAGAATGTGATCTTATGAAGAAATAGACAGAAATCAATGATCATGCAAATATGTAGTCATGGTAACTGTGATGAAGGATAAAAAGTATAAGGTAAGGAAAGAATTCAACCCAATCTTAGAGGTAAGGAAAGCCTTCCTTAAGGAAATAACTTAAAGCTGATGCTCAAGGGATAAACGAGTTGATGGGAGTCTCTCTGAACTTACTCTGGTTCAATTATTTAAAAAAATAGTTAACTAGAAGGCAGTAGGGAGAGGAAAAAGTATAAAGGCTCTCACAGTAGCAGAAGAGAATGAGAAAAGATGAAAGTTTGTAACAGTGAGTGAGGAAAAGTAAGGCTTAAGACAAGGCAGGAGAAATGAGCAGGAGTCTTGGCCAAAATAAAGATTTGGGTTTTGTTCCCTAAACCAGGAAATGACATGATCAGCTTTGTTTTTAAGGATCTTTCCAAACTGCTAAAGAGATGTAGACCAAGTATTCATTGGCTGGGTGCAGTAGCCCACGCCTGTAATCCCACCACTTTGAGAGGCTGAGGCGGGAAGATTCCTTGAAGCCAACAGTTCTAGACCAGCCTGGGCAACACAGTGAGACCCCATCTCTCTCCCTATATTTATTTATTTTTAATTTTCTGTTTTTAAGATATCGTCTTGCTCTGTCGCCAGGCTGGAGTGCAGTGGCACGATATCGGCTCACTGCAACCTCCACCTCCCAGGTTCAAATGATTCTCCTGCCTCAGCCTCCCTCTCGAGTAGCTGGGACTACAGGCACCTGCCGCCACGCCCAGCTAATTTTTTTGTATTTTTAGTGGAGACGGGGTTTCATCAAGTTGGCCAGGATGGTCTCGATCTCTTGATCTCATGGTCCGCCTGCCTCGGCCGCCCAAAGTGCTGGGGTTTCAGGGGTGAGCCACTGTGCCCGGCCTCATATATTTATTTTAAAAAGAGACTCGGGCCGGGCGACCAACATAGTGAAACCCCGTCTCTACTAAAAATACAAAAATTAACAGGGCATGGTAGCGCGCGCCTGTAATCCCAGCTACTCGGGAGGCTGAGGCAGGAGAATCGCTTGAACCCGAGAGGCAGAGGTTGCAGTGAGCCGGATCACTCCATCGCACTCCAGCCTCAGCGACAGAGCGAGACTCCGTCTCATAAATAAGTAAAAGAGAGACTCAAGGTATTCATTGCCTCCCTTGGAGACTCTACGCCCCCCGCCCCATGCCAATCAACAAACATTTGAATATCTACTACATACGGGGATACAACTAACAACGCTTCACATAGAGCCTCCCAACAAAACTTTACCTAAAAGGGTCGGGAGCATGTCCTACTCTAGATTCATTCCGAATTGGACCCTGCACACAACGCTAAGAAGCCCTGTGCCAGGCTCAAAAACGTGGCCCAGGCGCAGACACTCAAATCAGCACCCTCCCAGACCTGCAGGCGCTGTCTGCACACGCCCGACCGAGTCCACGTGCAAATGCAAACGTACTAGCATTTGCAGGCGCCCCCGGAAACACGCACACGTCCCGGGGGTGGGGCCACACTCCCGGAGCCGCCTTCGGTCCAAGCCTCACCCGGCCTGGCTTCCCCGTTCTCCCCTCGCCCGCCCTGGTCCCGTCCGGACACACCCTCGCCGGCCCAAGCCTCACTCGCGCGACTCACTTTCAGATGTCTCCACGCCATGCTTTTTCCGTCATTAAGCCCGCCCCTGTCTCCCTTCCATTGGAGGATATGGCGGCGGCCCCTCCTATTTCCAGCCCTTAGCCGCCAGTCCACCAATTCCCGGACAGCAGGGTTGAGCGGGCGCCTCCGCAGCGGGGAAGGCCCGGCAGCACCTCGAGGTTCTGGTTGGGTGCGCTTGCGCAGTAGTGACGGTCAAACCTCTTATACCCGCCCTCCTCCTGGTCTTCCTGCGTGGTCGCTGACGGTTGGCCGAGGAGCCGCTGCGCGGGTTTTGTTGCTAGTTGCGTAGTCCTGCAGTCTCGAATCCGAGAGTCCGCGAGGAGTCGGGGCTCTGTCAAGAAGACAGGTGTTGAGGTCGTGCCACACACTGCTGTCTTTCTGCCAGGGTCGCGTTGCGACTTTCGTGGGCCCCCTGCTGGTTATTTTAGTGTGGACATCAGAACACTGTGTTTCACACAGTATTTGTGCAGTTTTTATTACTTTAAGAAATAAATGGCCGGGCATGGTGGCTCAAGCCTGTAATCCAAGCACTCTGGAGGCCGAGACGGGTGGATCACCTGAGGTCGGGGGTTCAAGACCAGCCTGACCAATATGGTGAAACCCCGTCTTTATTTAAAAATAAATAAATAAAATAATAAATTTTACTGCTGTGTTAATATAAAATGAATGCGTTAATATATAAACGTTTTTCTACGTAAAAGTTGATTTTTCTTCAGGTTTTTAAAGAAATTAAAACATTTTCTTGAGGCCGGGCGCGGTGGCTCACACCTGTAATCCCAGCACTTTGGGAGGTCCAAGCGGGCAGCTCACTTGGGGTCAAGAGTTCAAGACCAGCCTGGCTAAGATGGAGGAACCCCCCCCCGCCCCCGTCTCTACTAAAAAAAAAAAGAAAGAAAGATAAAATAACCTGGCGTAGTAGGGGGCACCACTTGGGAGGCTGAGGCAGGAGAATCGCTTGAACCCCGTAGGCGGAGGTTATAGTGAGCCAAGACTGCGACTGCACTCCAGCCTGGCAACATGGCTAGACTCCATCTCAAAAAAACAAAAAAAAGTACTTTACCCTTTATGAAAAAGACTGAAATGAAATGACCTGACTTGACTTTCAGAGATTTCATCAACGTCAGGTTTTATTTTAAAATGCTTGAAACATATGTGTGCATGTGTGGTGTATTTATTTGTGTATGTATATGAAGATGTTTAGAAGTTGAGGCTCTGTGAACTTTGAAAACTAAAAAGCATCCTGTATCCCGATGAGTCCATTGCCACACACTCTTGTAAGGGTGGACTACTCTGCTCAGAAACCTTCCAAATAAACTGCAAACCTTTTATCCTGGCACTTGAAACACTCCCGTTTTCTGGTTACGGTTCCCACTACAGTCCCGCCGAGTAGCCCCTACATGCACACACACACACACACACACACACAAATGTTTTCCTTTTATCAATACCTTCCACTTTCCCACCTCTGTGTATTTATTCACATTGACTTCTCTGCTAAGATGTCCGTTTCATCTGTCTAAATATTGCCATCTTTATATATTTGTTTCAAAGGCCGAAAGTAATTTCTTCCTTATCTGAACCTACACAGCAGCACTTAAGCTGTCCCTGTAGGCTGGCACTTTTCGTTGTTTTTGTTAGTTATAATTATTATGCCTTTTCTTTCCTTATTGGACTTTTTGAAAGTGATGATTGTGCTATATTTATCTTTCATTTGATTACTGCAGTGTTTTTGGTGTTTTTGGTTTTTGGGGGGTTTTTTGAGACAGAGTCTCACTCTGTTGCCCATGCTGGAGTGCAGTGGCACAATCTCAGCTCACTGCAACCTCCACCAACTGGTTCAAGTGATCCTCCTGCCTCACCCTCCGAAGTAGCTAGGATTACCAGGTGCCACCATGCCTGGCTAATTTTTCTATTTTTAGTAGAGACAGGGTCTCACCATGTTGGCCAGGCTAGTCTTGAGCTCCTCAACTCAAGTGATCCACCCACCTCAGCTTCCCAAAGTGCTAGGAGTAGAGGCCTGAGCCACCACACCCAGCTGATTACTGCAGTGTTTTTCAAACAGGATGTATTCTTGGAGTCTGTGTTTTAGAGAATCTCATACTTTTGGTGGCCACTTCTGTACTGATTTTTAGAGTAATTTAAGCATCATTTGGACTATCTGAATAACCGTCTTAAACCTGAAACCTGCCAACTGGTCCAGTGCCCACATTTGTTTGCGTTTATCACTTTTTGGCACCAAGACAGAACCAGCTGTAATACGTGTGTTGGGTACGCAACAGGTGGAGACCAAATGACCTGCTGTGTTTGAACAAAGGTTTTTTTCTTTTAGTGAGTCAAATAAAGAAATGTGGTAACAGAATTGAATTTTCCCCATATCATTAAATAGTGTGCATGCCAGACTCAAAGGAACCTGTGCAGTCATAGGCCGGAGAACCCTGTTTATCTGCTATTTAGCTTGGCAAAATTTGGATCTCATTTGTTTTCAGTTTTGTTTGTATTTAATTTGTATTCATTTTTCCATGTAATATTGTTTGGTTTTTATGACTGTGTAAGAGTTTTAAGATAAAGTTCATGGACCTGGGATGGTGGCTCACACCTGGACTTTGGGAGACCAAGGTGAGAGGACCATTTGAGTCCAGGAGTTCAAGACTGCACTGAGCTATCATCATGCTATGCCCTCCAGCCTGGGCAGCATAACGAGACTCCATATCAAAAAACATAGACTTTATGCTTAGTTCTGTTTGCATGTACTTAAGAGACAGAATACAGTAATTTAAATCAGTCCTAGGGGTGGCAGAGATGTAGGATGAGCAAGTCAAGAGATTTAATGTGCAACCTGAGGACTACAGGTAACAAAACTGGATCGTAGACAGGATTCATGCTGGATGAGATTTTAGCTGCTTTTGCCACAAAACCAAAAAAAAGTGGGTAACTAATGTTAGATGATGGATGTGTTTGTTTTACTCTAATAACCTTCTTAATATCTATATGCATCCCATAACATCATGCTATGTACCTTAAATATTCACAATAAAATTCCTTTTTAAAAAAATTAGGCCAGGTGCAGTGGCTTACACCTGTAATCCCAAAACTTTGGGAGGCCAAGGTGGGTGGATCACCAAAGGTTAAGAGTTTGAGACCAGTCTGGCAAACGTGGCAAAACTCCATATGTACTGAAAATACAAAATTAGCCAGGTGTGGTGGCACATGCCTCTAATTCCAGCTACTCGGGAGGCTGAGGCAGGAGTATCACTCGAACCCAGGAGGTGGAGCTTGCAGTGAGACAAGATCCACCATTGCACTCCAGCCTGGGCAGCAAGAGCAAAACTACATCTCAAAGAAAAAAAAAAAAAATCAGTCCTAGGGGTCTGCAAGAATGACTTTCTTTTAAAAAAAAAAACATGTGGCTGAGTCTGGTGACTCATACCTGTAAACCCATGACTTTGAGAGGCCAAGGCAAACAAATGGCTTGAGCCCAGCAATTTGAGACCATCCCAAGAAACACAGCAAGACTCTACACACACACACACACACACACACACACACACACACACAATTAGCTGGGCATGGTGGTGCGCTCCTGTAGTCCCGGCTGCTCGGGAGGCTGAGGTGGGAGGATTGATCACTTGAGCCTCGGAGGTCGAGGCTGCAGTGAGCTGATATCATGCCACTGTACTCCAGCCTGGGCAACAGAATAAGACCCTGTCTCAAAAAAGAAAAAGCTATACTTATTCATTTTTAGCGACACTGACTTAGATATTAGATATTCATCATCCTCTACCCCACGCAGCTTAGACTCAGCTTTATAATCCATCTCTATTTGCTACAGGCATGTATGGTAGGTAGACACAGATGGTGGGGCCCCAGATACAAAGGCTCATTGCTTTATTGATCTCTGCTATTTGTTTTCAGCTTGTAGGATAGGAACTGCACCTGGGTCCTCAAAACAAAACCTTTTGTATCCTTGGTAAATTGTTCCCAATTCATAAAAGAATAATACTAAGACAAGGCCAGTAATATATATATATATTTAAAGGACCAGGCAGCTGCTGAACCTACACACTTTTTCTTGCTACAATTCAGAGAAAATGTTCTTCAAAGGAAGAAGCTGGCTTTGGTTATATGTGAGAACAAGTATCATTCTAGGAAGTAAGCTAAACAGCCCAGAGCGACGTGGGCAAAATAATTGTTATCAGCTTAACAGCTTTCACTGCAGCTTTGAGGAAGCAGAGCACTACTGCCATGCCCAGGGAGGATTCCTAGCTCATATTAGGAACCAGGAAGTTACAGATGGTAGCTGGGACTTTCTGGAAGAAGGAAAGAAGTGGTGGATTGGGCAAAAGGTAATGCCACTGAAAAAACATCAAGACGAAAAATACCCAGGTAAGACTGCGGGGTTTAGTGCCGATCAAGGAAACGTCCTTATATTTTATTCCGGGGTAGAAAAAAAGGAAATTATTAATCTTTCTGCTTTTTTATACAGAAAAACCAGTCACTTCATTACCATCTTTCCTCTGAAATGTTTCTGTTTTGTACTACAGCCTTTGATTCATCTGTGTAGCAAAAGTGATGCGATCTTTCCTAGGACCCAGCTAAAGTTAACTTACCTAACCTTTCACTAAAAGAATTGTGCTAGATTCGAAAGACAGCAACCTTTGACGGTCATTTTTTTTTTTCCTAATGAATATCTCTTCATTATTCTGAACTCCAAATTTCCTAACACAAAAACTAAGAGGAAATTATCTATTGTCCTTCTTACAAAGTGTTTTCAAAGTTATGCACCATCATCTTGAAGTTTTAGAGACAAATCCAAGGCATTATTATATAATTCTTGTCATCTTCATTAATGCACAGGTAGTGTAATACTAAGCCATGTGTTAAGGAATACATATGAAAAAATAAACTATAATGTATGGGAGGCAATTCTAAATTGCTGTCTATTGGAAGCCAGCCAAATTTGGCTTTCATATTTACTTTTTAAAAATGTCTGGTGGCTGGGCACAGTGGCTCATGCCTGTAATCCCAGCACTTTGGGAGGCGAAGGCAGGCGGATCACCTGATGTCAGGAGTTTGAGACCAGCCTGGCCAACATAGTAAAACCCCATCTCCACTAAAAATACAAAAATTAGCCAGGCACAATGGTGGGCACCTGTAATTCCAGGTACTTTGGAGGCTGAGGCAAAAGAATTGCTTGAACCCGGGAGGTGGAGGTTGCAGTGAGCTGAGATCATGCCACTGCACTCCAGCCTGGGCAACAGAGTGAGACTCTCTCAAAAACAATAATAAAAAATAAATTAAAAGCCTGGCTTTTGAGTATGAGTTTCATCTGGGTCTGATCTCCCCTCAGCAGACATTGCTGCCCACGGGGACGCAAAGCCTCCCAGCTGCACCTACCTGTCCAGAAACTTCAGTCGGATCTCATTCAAAGGGGACAAGTGCTCACTGGGACACTATTTCATATGCCAGACTGGTAAGTGATAAAGCTACATACTGCCAAAGACCCAAATTTTGAAAACTGACTAAATAAGGAGTGCATGTGAGAGTGTTGGTTAAACAGTCTGTGACTGATAGACCATGGGATGATATAGGGCTTTTGATTTTCATGAAACTGATTAGCATGAGAAACTGTTATCAGGAGTGACTTCCACTGCGAGTTGGAAGAGTTGTGCCTCGATGTTCCCTCATGTTTTGACTTGGGTAGAGTGTCGGAGAAACTGTATTGCTGACATCATTTTCCACATGCACACTCGTAATTCAGTAAGCATTCAGACTTCAGAGAGAAGGATGGGAAAGAGGAGAAGAAGAGAATATGGCAGAGGAAGATGAAAAGATGAAGGGTGAGGGTGCTGTTATCCGAGGTTCACTTCCACGAAGTAGATCAGGATTAAGCTATGTATGTATGCGTTTGTGTGCGTGTAGTTGTTGTTGTTATTTATTGATTTATTTCCAAGCTGGAGTTTCACTCTTGTTGCCCAGGACGTAGTACATCAGTGTGATCTTGGCTCACCGCAACCCCTGCCTCCTGGGTTCAAGTGATTCCCCTGCCTGAGCCTCCCAATAAGCTAGGATTACAGGCATCTGCCACCATTCCCACCTAATTTTGTATTTTTAGTAGAGGTGAGGTTTCTCCATGTTAGTCAGGCTGGTCTTGAACTCCTAACCTCAAGTGATCTGCCTGCCTCGGCCTCCCAAAGTGCTGGGATTATAGGCGTGAGCCACTGCTCCTGGCTTATTTATTGATTTATTTATTTTTGTGGAGATGGGGTCTCATTATGTTATGCAGGCTGATCTCGAACTCCTGGCTTCAAGCAATCCTCCCACCTCAGCCTCCCAAAGTGCTGGGATTACAGGAATGAGCTGCCATGTCCGGCCTTGGTGATTTCTTTAAAAACAACTACTATACAACCCAGAAATTGCTTGGCATTTATTGCAGAAAGAAAACTTGTGCTCACATAAAAATATGTATATGGATGCTTGTAGCAGCTTTATTCACAATAGAGCAAAATTAGAAACAATTCAGACATCTGTCAACAGGTGAATGGTTAAACCCCTGTGGGCCAGCCGTGACAGTCATACCGTTTCTACTCTCCCGGGTGACTTTCCCACTTCCCGCTCTCTACTCAATCTCCAACACCTGGGGGCCTCCCTCCATCTCATTCTCAGGTCAGGTGATCACCTTGCTTTCTAACTCAAGGAGAAAACCAAAGCAATGTAGAGTCCTTCCTCAACTCCGACCGTCAAACCTAGCCACCTACCGGCACCTGCACCTGTAGAGAGACAATGCTTTCTCTCATGCTCTACACATCTTCATACTCCTACCCAAAGTGAATCCCTCTAGTTGTTGAATCGGACTCTATGGAGTCCAATTCAGTAATAAAAAGAAACAAACTATTGATACAGCAATTTCAAGAGAATTCTGCTGAATGAACAAAGCCAATCTCAAAATGTGACATACTCTATGGTGCCATTTATTGAGCATTCTTGAAATGACAACATGACAGGAATGGAGAACAGATTAGTGGTTGTGAGGGTCTAAAGGAGGCATGGGGGCAGGATGGAAGTAGGCATGGCTACAAAAGGGCAATGTGAGGGACTATTGTAGCAATTGAAAAAATTTTTGACATGACTGTATCAGTGTCAATATCCTGTTGTTGCTCTTGCAAGTTGTGTTACCTTTGGAACCTGGATACAGGCATCTCTCTGCATTTTCTCTTTCATCTGCATGTGAATACATAATTATCTCAAAATAATAAGTTACATTAAAAAAAAAAAAAAAGAAAATGTGGCCAGGCACAGTGGCTCATGCCTGTAATCTCAGCACTTTGGGAGGCTCAAGGAGGAGGATCACAAGGTCAGGAGATCAAGACCATCCTGGCTAACACGGTGAAACCCCATCTCTACTAAAAATACAAAAAATTAGCCGGGCATGGTGGCACACACCTGTAGTCCCAGCTAGTCGGGAGGGAGGCTGAGGCAGGAGAATCATTTGAACCTGGAAGTCAGAGGTTGCAGTTAGCCAAGATCGCTACACTGCACTCCAGCCTGGGCAACAGAACGAGACTCAGACTCAAAAAAAAAAAGAAAGAAATATGCCTTGATGTAAGGATACACATGACTTATACAGTATTCTTGCCCAAAAAAAAAAAAAAATAGAATAATGTAAATTAAAAATGGGAAAGGATATCTCTGTTTACCAGATTGGAATAAATTCACAAACCTAACAACATATGCTGTTGGCAAGGCTGTGAGAAAATATGTACTCTCATAAGTTCCTAGTGAGAATGCAGGAAGATATCATCTCTATATATCTTGTAAATAAAGGGGAATTCAGCAATATCTAGCAAAATAACATATACATCTACCCTTGACCCCACCTCCACTGCTAGGATTCTATCTCAAAGTCAAAACAGCAAAAATACAAAAAGATGAAAGCATAAGGCTATTCATGTTGTTCTCTGTAAGAGCAAAAAGTAGGAATAATCCCATCAAAAGAGAACTGGTTGTAAAAAGCAAATAACAACCATCTCCATGTACTGCAGTGGGGTTAGCACTTTATTTTTTTAGTGGAAAATAAAGGTACAGAACATATATATTTGCTTATATACATACACGTATGTATAAATATCATAGAAGGAGAAACAAAAACTAATGAAACTGGTTACGTCTGGGGGAGAGAGAAAAAGGGGCAGAAAGGATGAAGATGGAAATAAGACCTTTCGAAATGTACCAGTTTGATAGTTTTGGCATGGAAACTCTTTAAATGTTTTCCATAATTATTGCTATGGTTTGAACGTGCCCCTTCCAAAACAGGTGTTGCCAATTTGATCGTATTAGGACGTGGGGCTTTAACAGGTGGGCTGGACCACAGGGCTCCTCCCCTGTGAATGGGACGCGGCGCCCTTATAAAAGGGTTCGGCAGAGGGACGGATTCTCTTGCTCTTCCTCCTTATGAGGGCGTGAGTTTCGTCCGACTCGAAATGGGAGTGCTTTGATCTTGGGCTTGCAGCCAGAACTGTAAGAATTAGATTTCTGTTCTTTATAAATTACCCTGTTTATGGTATTCTGTTATAGCAGCACAAAACAGTCTAAAGCAAGTAGAAAACAAATTTATGTCAACATTTTTTTTTTTTTGAGACGGCATTTCACTCCTGTTGTTCACGGTGGAGTGCAATGACACCATCTCAGCTCACTGCAACCTCTGCCTCCCAGGTTCAGGTGATTCTTCTGCCTCAGCCTCCCGAGTAGCTGGGATTACAGGCATTCACCACTATGCCTGGATAATTTTTATGTTTTCAGTAGAGACAGAGTTTTTACCATGTTGGCCAGACTGGTCTTGAACTCCTGACCTCAGGTGATACACCCTCTTCAGCTTCCCAAAGTGTTGGGATTACTGGTGTGAGCCACCATGCCCAGCCTGTCAACATTTTAAAAAACAATCTCTAAAAGTAGGGAAATAGAGGGGAGGAGAAGAATTGGAGCTAACAAGTGAGGACAATTCTAAGGTGATTTTGCTCAAGAGCAGGAAACTACTGGGGCAGTAGTTCATGAGGCCAATATAAGTTGCTGGGGTTTTTTTTTTTTTTTTTTTGAGACAGAAAAAATAGCATTCGGGGATGACTGGATTTGAGCTACTGAACAACTAGAGGGATTCGCTTTGGGTAGGAGTATGAAGATGTGTTAGAGCATGAGAGAAGGCATTGTCTCTCTACAGGTGCAGATGCTGGTAGGTGGCTAGATTTGACGGTCGGAGTTGTGGAAGGACTCTAAATTGCTTTTTCTCCTTGAGTTAGAAAGCAAGGTGATCACCTGACCTGGAAATGAGATGGAGGGAGGCTCCCAGGTGTTGGTGGTTGAGTAGAGGGAAGTGGGGTCACCTGGGAGAGTGGAAGCTGAGACTGCCAGGCAGTGTGAAGACGGGTCACTCAAGCTTCCTGACCATGAATTTAAGCTGAGCCACAGTCAAGTGGTTATATGATTTTTCTCTCGCCATGTCCAACAGCATGTGTGAGAAACTCCTTTTCATGTGTGCAAGGAGGCATGTCCAAGAATGTTATTGCTGGCCAGGCGCAGTGGCTCACACCTGTAATCCCAACACTTTGGGAGGCCAAGGCAGGCAGATCACTTGAGATCAGAGGTTCGAACCAGCCTGGACATGGTGAAACCTTATCTCTTCTAAAAATATAAAACTTAGCTGGGTGTGGTGGCACGCACCTATAATCTCAGCTACTCAGGAGGCTGAGGCAGGAGAATTGCTTGAACCCAGGAGGTTCAAGCAATAAGGTTGCATTGCTTGCAGTGAACTAAGATCACACCATTCCACGCCAGCTTAGGCAACAGAGCAAAAACTACCTCTCAAAAAAAGAATGTTATCACTCACCTTCGGAAGTCTTTTATCTCTACCAACGAGAGTTACAGAACACAAAGGAGAATATTACACATAGTAGGATATTTCCCATTTATGCTGGAGGTTGCAAACTTTTTTAGTGAAAAGTCAGACCCTGGCGATGACCTTAAGCAGTAGGATATAATTCCAAGCTTAGCGTTCCAATAATGGAACACTAGGCATATAGGGTTAATGAACTTCTCATTAACCCAATTAATGGACTTAATTTGAAATGTAGAACACCATAATTTGATGTGACCAGGCTGCAGAGCAAAAGGGCTACTGCAGAATTCTTATTGTCTTTAAAAAGCTGGATAGTAATTTTTAATTTGTGTTTTCCTGATTATCACATATGTGTAATGATGATTTATAGACTTGTAGCTATAGCTATAACCTGTAAGTTAACTTGTGTATTCGCCTCCAAGTAGATGCCTTTTTGGACAGAGATGCCCGTTATGAAAGAAATGGAAATAATTCTCATTTGCCGTGGAGACCCAAGAAGACAAAAAGAGAAGTTGAAATACCAAGAAACAGAATGCCCCCAGGTAATATGTTACTCCCTCAAGTAACCGTAAAAATCAGTGAAATCAATTGCTGCTCAAAGGATGCACAAGGCTGAATTAATGCTGAAATGCGGTATCACACCACGTGCCCAATATTCGTTGTGTTCTATTCTGTCTGATCTTAATATGACAGTCTTGGCCTTCGTTTGGTATTTGTGTTTGCTCGCTATACCCCTTGGCCACTTCTTTTCAGATAAGCCCGAGTACAAGGCAAGGCTTTATTCCCACAGAATTTTTCATCAACAAAGAGAAAGTCGACCTAAAGTTCTTGCAAAGTCTTTGACATCATGGTGTTATCTCTTGTTTATTTTTTAATTTTGAAAAACAAGTACTGTTTGGGAAGGATGCATTAGCCCGAAATGACGTCAGTATCGGTGGATATGATTATAGAGGTCACCTGAAAGAAAGGAGTAAAGCAGAGGTCAATTTAAAGCGGATCTTGTGATCATTCGTCAGGGTGTGACCTCACTGCTGCACGTGTTAGGTGTCCTGATCAACAAACCGTTTAAAAGAACAATTTAGAAAGTGTTATTTAGAGACATGAATATGTATTTAAAGAACAAATGGGAAAACCAGCTTTTCTCAGGGCTTTGTAAATGGGGACTTGTGAGTTGTAGGAAAATGTTTAGTGATTGCATTAGGTGGAAGTAAAGAGGACATCGTGTGGAGAACTGTCAAATCCAGATGTTCTGATGATAGAGCAGTGATGTTAAAGATGCATTTGAAATGTTTGAATTAAACTGTGTGGTGAAATGGGAGTTTCATGAGAGTAATGCTTCTAATATTACTTCACATGACATGTGACTTTAAATATGTAGTAGTAGAACTAAATTACTGAATTAAATAGACATTTGACTGTTTCACCTATATCCTTTAAGTTTGTATTGTCAAGCTTGCCCCAGAAATAGTTTTTTAAAACTCTTCGTTGGGAAAAATGTAGATTGTGTTATTGTGAGGCAATTTACGTAACAGGGAATATGCCTAGTATTTATGTATGAGGGTCCTTTAAAATGTTTGCAGGCTGGATCTCCCCTCAGCAGACTTTGGCTCACACCTGTAATCCCAGGTGTGATTTAGGTGTAATATAATGACTCACACCTGTAATCCCAGCTACTCAGGAGGCTGAGACAGGAGAATTGCCTGAACCCAGGAGGCAGAGGTTGCCGTGAGCCGAGATTGCGCCATTGCACTCCAGCCTGGGTAACAAGAGCAAAAGTTCGTCTCAAAAAAAAAAAAAAAAAAAAAATTAGTAGGTGTGGTGGTGCATGCTTCTGTAGTCTCAGCTACTCAGGATGCTGAGGCAGGAGGATAGTTTAAACCCAGGAGTTACAGGCTGTAATAAGCCATGATCAAGCCACCATGTTCCAGACAGCCTTTTTTTCCCTTATCAGATTGCTTGTAAAATTTGTTTGTAATTCAGAAATATTCTTAGTGTGTATCTAGGTTACTTTTCACTAATTGTGCCTAGAACATGATGCTACATATACACATCTTTCTTGAATCAAAAATATCCTATGTATGTATCACTTCTATTTCATGTATTCTGGTTCTGTCCTTAAATACCAGGTATCTGTGTGCTGTGTTGTTGCTTCCTATCTTCTGCCTTTCCTGCACTCCCTTTAAATGAAAATAATGGTTTTGTATTTATCACCCTTTCTGTTAGAGGAGAGCACCTTACATTCATCTTCCATATCAGGGACTGATTTTTCCACATCTGCTCAGTATTCCCTACCATGCAGATTTTAATTTTTCTGCAGTTTTAAAAAAATCATCTGGAAATCATTTTATATAATTTCTTTTTCTTTTTTTTTTTTTTTTTTTTTGACAGAGTCTCACTCTGTCTCCCAGGCTGGAGTACAGTGATGCGATCTCAGCTCACTGCAACCTGTGCCTCCCTGGTTCAAGTGATTCTGCTGCCTCAGCCTCCCGAGTAGCTAGTGTTGCAGGCACCTGCCACCATGACAGGCTAATTTTTGTATTTTTAGTAGAGATGGGGTTTCACCATCTTTGCCAGGCTGGTCTTGAACTCCTGACCTTGTGATCCACCTGCCTTGGCCTCCCATAGTGCTAGGATTACAGGCATAAGCTACTGTGCCTGGCCTAGTGTGTGTGTGTGTGTGTGGGGTCTCACTCTGTCTCCCAAGCAACAGAATTACAAGCACCAGCCACCATGCCCAGCTAATTTTGTATTTTTAGTACAGATGGGTTTTTACCATGTTGGCCAGACTGGTCTCGAACTCCTGACCTCAAGTGATCCTCCTGCCTTGACCTCCCAAAGTGCTGAGATTACAGGCATGAGCCACTGCGTCCAGATTTCCTTATCTTTTAAGGCAAGATCTGTCTATACAAAATATGTGTCAGTTGACCAAGAAATTGAATGGCCCTAACACAGCAGCCTGTCAACTCATCCAGTGGCCGTAACCCTTCCCAGATCTTCAACTGATGTGCAGGGTCCTTCCCTGTTCCCAGCACACCACCCACCTCATGACCCTACTCTGAGGCGATGGTTTTCTCTCATTTCTGCGGCCTGGTTTTCTGGTGCTCTGAATCGGCGCATGTGAAGAACTTTAGCACCCCGCATTTGCGTTACTGTTCTTTCTGTCTCCCCATGACTCCTCTCAATCCCATTCCCTGGTGCTGTCTTTGGGGGCAGTGCTGGCAGGGCCCACACATCACAGAACCCACCATGCCCGCCCTGGTTCCTTCCTCCTTGCCTGCCTCATTGAGGTCTATCATGACCTGGGGATTCCCAGATTGAGGAAAATGGCATGAGCTGGAAAAGCCGCTGAGAACCATGACATTGGTACTGTGCTCATCTCAAAGGGTAAGTGTAGGGCAGACGGAAGGTACTGCCCATGTTTGTTTCTCTCTTTTTTTTTTTTTTCTTTTTGGAAACAGGATCTCACTCTGTCACCCAGGCTGGAGTATAGTGGCATGCTCCCCTCTCATTTCACCCTTGACCACCTGGGATCAAGTGATCTTCCTGCCTCAGCCTCCTGAGTTGCTGGGACCACCATGCCTGGCTAATTTTTATATTTTTTTGTGGAGAGAGGGTTTCATGATGTTGCTCAGACTGGTCTCAAACTCCTGGGCTCCAGGGATCTGCCTGCCTGGGCCTCCCAAAGTGCTGGGATTACAGGATGAGCCCCCACACCTAGCTTTTCATTTTTCTAACTGGCAAAGGCCTTGGGTCTCTCAGTCAAGGTACAAGTGTAAAGGGGGTACAAAGTTCCTTCTTATCCCCTAAAATGGTCACGCTGTCTTTGAGAACATGAAACTGACATATTCCCTGAGGACAGTGATCTCTATAGAAGCTTACAGCCCATTTCATCTGCATTTTAATTTGTATCCATTCTTCCTATTAAAGGAAAGAATTATTCTAATACTTATTAAAACAGTAAGAAAGACCTGTTTCAGGACTATCACAATAGTGGAGAAAGATCAAACTCAACTCCATAGAGAACAAGTGGGGATTTATAGCCAAGGAGAAGGAGTAGGAGTTGGGGGTAGATGGAAAATTACCAAGAGGAGAGATCAAGCATAGAGAATTCTTGCTGAGGGCAGGCCAGGGTGATCAGATAGCAAGGGTGAAAGAAGGGATTCTTGTTAAAACTAGGCTAGGCACGGTGGCTCACACCTGTAATCCCAGCACTTTGGGAAGTCAAGGTCAGGAGTTCAAGACCAGCCTGGCCAACATGGGGAAACCCTGTCTCTACTAAAAAAAATAAAATAAAAAAATCAGCTGGGCATGGTAGCACATGCCTGTGATCTAATCCGCTTAGGAGGCTGAGGCAGGAGAATTGTCTGAACCCAGAAGGCAGAGGTTGCAGTGAGCCAAGATCGTGCCACTGCACTCCAGCCTGGGTGGCAGAGCAAGACTCCATTTGGGGAAAAAAAAAAAAATAGGTTATGCAGATCTGGCAAGGATGGGGCCTAGTTGGGAAGTAGGTTTAGAGGAACTTAGCTAAAGTTTGATTAAAGAGTCTATAATCACTTTGGGAGTCTGAGGTAGGCAGATCACTTGAGGTCAGGAGTTCGAGACCAGCCGGGTCAACATGGCGAAACCCCATCTCTGCTAAAAATACAAAAAAAAATGGCCGGGCACAGTAGCTCATGGCTGTAATCCCAACACTTTGGGCGGCCGAGACAGGTTAATCACAAGGTCAAGAGACCAACACCATCCTGATCAACATGATGAAACCCCATCTCTACTTAAAATACAAAAATTAGCTGGGTGTGGTGGCACACGCCTGTAGTTCCAGCTACTCGGGAGGCTGAGGCAGGAGAATTGCTTGAACCCAGGAGGCACAAGTTGCAGTGAGCCGAGATCATGCCACTGCACTCCAGCCTGGCGACAGAGCGAGACTCCACTCAAAGAAAAAAAAAAAGAGACCCCCCACACACACACACACACACACTAGCTGGGCATGGTAGCACACGCCTGTAATCCCAGCTATTTGGGAGGCTGAGACAGGAGAATTACTTGAACCCAGGGGGTGGAGGTTGCAGTGAGCCGAGGTCGTGCCACTGTACTCCAGCCTGGCAACAGAGACTCTGTCTCAAAAAAAAAAAAAAAAAAAAAAGCTGGGCATGGCGTTGCATGCCTGTAATCCCAGCTACTCGGAAGGCTGAGGCAGAACAATCACTTGAACCCGGGAGGTGAAGGTTGCAGTGAGCCGAGATTGCACCATTGCATTCCAGCCTGAGTGACAGAGTTAAGACACTGTCGAATGAATGAATGATTGAATGTATTACTCACAAGTTCTAGAATTAGCTGATCAGTCATGTTTATAGTAAAGTGACTTTTCATCTTTATAAATATTTTAGAAAAAAGCAGGGAGATGGTTTACAGAAGCTGTTGTCATAAGTTAGTTGGAGCTAAAAGTTACAATTAGAAACCTTCTCTAAATACATTGCTTTAAAGTTCACATTTTTAGGTATCATTACACCCATTTGCCAGACAAGAAAACTAAAAGGTCATGTTCTCAAGGCTTCATAGTTGTAGTAAAAGGCCAAAGTGGCTCTGAGACCAGGTCTTTCGACTCAATGCAGTTTTTCTTCTACCCTCTGTAGATAGAAAGACATGACATCTGATCAGAAGAGCATCTCAGAATTCTGTCCTCCCCCAGCAGTAGTAACTGCAATGGTTTGGCTGCTAAATACATGTATCAGCCCTGTGAACACCAGAGGGAATGTTACAAGAGAGGGCAGAGAAGGCTTGCCATAGCCAGATACTTGTTAGTAGGCCTAGAAGCTCGTGTTTTGAAAGAGGTCAACCTAAGCTAATAGTAAGTAGACATATTAATGCACTGATAGTGTCTTCAGGTCATGGTTTCCTAGTGGAAAATGGGGTGGGGAAGCAGTAATGGTTATCTGGCAACATTTTATAAATGATCATTTTCTAATGATAGTTTGTTTGGGGGCTGGGGGTGGGGGAGAGAAGACAGAGTCTTGCTTTCTTTCCCAGGCTGGAGTGCCATGGCCTCATCTCAGCTCACTGTAACCTCCGCCCCCCAGGTTCAAGCAATTCGCCTGCCTCAGCCTCCCGAGTGGCTGGGATTATAGGCATACGCCACCATGCCTGGCTAAGTATTGTGTTTTTAGTAGAGATAGGGGTTTTACCACATTGGCCAAGCTGGTCTCGAACTCCTGACCTCAAGTGATCCACCTGGCTGGGCCTCCCAGAGTGCTGGGATGACAGATATGAGCCACCATACCCAGCTCCAAATTATTTCAGTTAGTTAATAAGGAGCTCCTTTTTGGTAAAATGATGAAGCAAATATTTCTATAGTAATATTTATATACTGGGTACTTTATGATTATTGTGATTTTTTGTTTTTTTGTTTTTGTTTTTTTTTTGAGACAGAGTCTGGCTCTGTTATTCAGGCCAGAGTGCAGTGGTGCCATCACTGGCTCCCTGCAACCTCTGCCTCCCAGGTTCAAGTGATTCTCCTTCCTCAGCCTCCCAAGTAGCTGGGTTACAGGCATGTGCCACCACACCCAGCTAATTTTTGTATTTTTAGTGGAGACAGGGTTTCACCGTGTTGGCCAGGTTGCTCTTGAACTCCTGCCCTCAGGTGATCTACCTCCCTCAGGCTCCCAAAGTGCTAGGATTACAGGCGTGAGCCACTGTACCCAGCCTAATTTGATTTAATATTTATTTTTTGTACAGAGTGTTTCAACAGCAAACAAAGAGATTAAACATTTATAACAGAATTCTAGTTTGTCTACAGACTTACCTATAATGGCAAATCATCGCTTGGTTTTCCTTTTCTTTTTTTTTTTTTTTGAGATGGAGTCTCACTGTGTCTCCTAGGCTGGAGTGCAAGGACGCAATCTCTGCTCACTGCAACCTCTGCCTCCTGGGTTCAAGTGATTCTCCTGCCTCAGCCTCTCAAGTAGCTGGAATTACATGCACAGGCTACCACGCCCAGCTAATTTTTGTATTTTTAGTAGAAACAATGTTTCACCATGTGTGACCCAGGATGGTCTTGAACTCCTGAGCTCAGGTGATCTGCTTGCCTCAGCCTCCCAAAGTGCTGGGATTACAGGCATGAGCCACCATTCCCCAGCCTTGGTTTTCTATTTAAAACAATTTGCATTGTTTTTAGCCAAGAATAAGATCCCCAAGTAATACAGAAATATTTCTATCTTAGGCTTTTACTTGAACTTGCTTTCTTTTTTCTATAGGAGCTGCTCATCTTTCAACCACATGTCACCATCCTCCTCATGCTCATCTTGTAAGTACTTCCCTTGACATCTTGGAATGTTGATCCCTTTGTCATACCTAGTAGGTCCGGTCAGAGCTCTGTCTTACAGAGTGTTCTGAATACAGTTTTCTAATAAGGAAAAGAAAGTATTTACATGCGGGAGAAAATTGTGTTTATTAGGTGCTTTGTTAAAGGAATTTTTATTTTTTTTTTGAGACAGTGTCTCACTCTGTCACCCAGGCTGGACTGTGGTGCCTCAGTCTTGGCTCACTGCAACCTCTACCTCCCGGGTTCAAACGATTCTCCTGCTTCAGCCTCCCAAGTAGTTGGGATTACAGGCCTGCACTACCACACCTGGCTAATTTTTGTATTTTTAATAAAGAGAGGGTTTCACTACGTTGGCCAGGCTGGTCTCTAACTCCTGACCTCAGGCAATCCTCCTGCCTCAGGCTCCCAAAGTGCTGGAATTACAGGTGTGAGCCAGCATGCCCATACTTGTTACAAGAATTTTTAAAGCCTAAAAATGTCATACTGATGTAGTTATCATTTATTTGTTGGTTGGATGTGTGTCCCCTTCTTCATTGCAAAAGGGACTTGTGGCATCTTACCAAAATACAATGCAATAAAACGTAAACCTCAAACAGAAAGAAAAAGGAAACTAAAGGTAGAAACTGTCCACATAGTCTATAAAATGTCACCTTCAAAAAAATCTGTCAGCATTCTTGTCTTTGTGTCCTATGTAGAAACCTTTTAGTTGATGCCTAAACACGGATGTGTATTTCTTGGACTCAATGCTCCCTGCAAAAATAAATGTTTCTAACAGTATAAAAGAATGGGGGGCCGGGATTGGTGGTGGGCACCTGAATCCCAGCTACTCAGGGGGCTGAGGCAGGAGAATTGCTTGAGCCTGGGAGGAGGAGGTTGCAATGAGCCAAGATCACACTATTGTACTCCAGCCTGGGTGACAGAGGAAGACCCATCTCAAAAAAAAAAAAAAAAATCAATGAAAAAATGAACTTTCATACTTGCCTCATACTGATCTACTCTTGCTGCTTTTTCTCTCTTCTCAACAGAGTGGTTGATTGTTTAAAACACAGAGTGATGCTTTAAAACAGAAGTCAGCTTATGCCACTGCTCTGCAAAGCCCTTTAATTTATCCAAAATAATGTCTGCATTCCTTTCAACTGCCTGGCAGATGACACTCTGCCAGCCCTGGGATCTTATTGATCCCCCTCCTGCCACCAGTGCTCCTCTAGCTTCCTTGGCCTCCCTCAGACAGAGCCAGCTGGCTGTGGGCTTGGAGACCTTTGCACTCCTGACATGCCATCGCTAACACATGGGCAGAGTGCGCTCTCTCTCCCTTTATCCAACTCTCAGCAAAAATGTCCTTTCCATCAGGCATAGTGCTTTGTGCCTCGTGCCTGTAATCCCAGCACTCTGGGATGCCGAGGCAGGAGGATCACTTAAGCTAGAAGTTCTAGACCAGCTTGGGCAACATAGCAAAATCCTGTCTCTATAAAAAAGTGAAAAAAGGCTGAGTGCAGTGGCTCATGCCTGTAATCCCACCATTTTGGGAGGCTGAGGTGGCAGATCACTTGAGGTCAGGAGTTTGAGACCAGAATGGGCAACGTGGTGAAACCCCATCTCTACTAAAAATACAAACATGAGCTGGTGTGGTGGTGTGTTCCTGTAGTCCCAGCTGCTCAGGAGGCTGAGCCAGGAGAATTGCTTGAACCCAGGAGGAGGCTACAGTGAGCCAAGGTGGCACCACTGCACTGTAGCCAGGGTGAAAGAGTGAGACTCCATCTCAAAAAAAAAAAAAGTAGCCAGGCATGGTGGTATGTGCCTGTAGTCCCAGCTACTTGGGAGGCTGAGGCAGGAGGATCACTTGAACCCAGGAGGTCAAGGCTGCAGGGAGCTATGACTGTGCCTTTGCACTCCAGCCTGGGTGACAGAGACTCCTCATCTCAAAAAATCCTCCCCTTACCACTGAATACCATCAATGATAGGCACTTTCTATCTGGTTAGCCTTATTTTTTCTTCATAGTACTTATTTAATGCATGACATAATTTATCTGCCTCCAACACACAGGCTCGACAAGGCCAAGAACTTGGCTCCTTTTGCTCCTTGCTGTATTCGGTTCTCCAGAACATTCTTAGCACCTTATAGATGTTTAACAATTTATCGAATGACTGATATAAATACACTAATGTAAATCCTGAATCTCAGTAATATAATATGCAGCTTTCTTGAAGCTGTTTGAGCACAGAATTTTTGAACAGAAATGCCTGTTGTCTCATAGGACATGAGAGTTTCAGAGCAGTTTGGGAAACACTGCCGTAATTATTCCTTAAATGGTAAAATCAGATTTTGCCTTTTCCTTTATGTATTTTTATCTTTTAGTCCAAGATGCTGTGTCATCCCATCAGCCCCTTCTCTTCAGTACTACCAAAAATCACAACACAGGTAACACCAGTGACATCTGAACCCAGCAGCCAGCCTCTCCCTGCGAGAACAGAGCCCACCAGTCCTGTGTCTGTCACACATGCTGGTCAGTCTCAGACGGAAATGGCTTCAAGCCCAGAGGAAGATGCTCATCCACATAGCTTCACCTCTCATCCCCCAGCATCACTGCAGAATGCATCTGGTCAGGTAAACGTGGGAGATGCAAGTACAACTAGGTAGCTTTGTGACAGTGAAAAAGCAGTTGGTTTCCCATTTGCCTCCCTGTGGAACTGCACCTAAGAAAGCCTGACAGAACAGCATGTGTGCCAATCCAAAGCCAAAAGTAAACGAGGCCATGAAAATAGCCTACAATTCGGTGGCACACATACAGCCCAGCATTTCATTAAATAATGAAATATTCTCATTTTGCTATTTAATGATATTATTTAATTCTATTGCATTTAATGCTTCCGATGGAGAAGAAGTTTTGTTCACCTGCCCTGCTTTTTCAGCAGCAGCAAACTTCTAGAGAATTCCTCCTACGCACCATCCTGACTCTCTTTTCACCTTGCTTCCTTCCTCCCAAAAACATGGCCATCAAGGTAGCCAGACACAGTGAGTCACACCTGTCATCCCAGCATTTGGGAGGCCAAGGTGTGGGGATCACTTGAGCCCAGGAGTTTGAGACCAGCCTGGGCAACATAGCGAGATCTTGTCTCTACTAAAGTTCAAAAAAATTAGCTGGGCACAGTGGCTCATGCCTATAATGCAGCATTTTGGGAGGTCAAGGAAGAGGATCACTTGAGCCCAGAAGTTTGAGACCAGCCTGGACAATGTAGTAAGAACTTGTCTCTACTAAAATTCAAAAAAAATTATCCAGGTGTGGTGGTGTGCACCTGTAGTCCCAGCTACTTGGGAGGCGGAGGTGGGAAGGTCACTTGAGCCTGGGAAGTCCAGGCTGCAGCAGGCTGTGATTGCGCTACTGTACTCTAGGCTGGGCGACAGGGCAAAACTGTCTCAAAAAAAAAAGACAAAGCCCCTTTGACAGTATTGACTGAAGAAAATAATCCTGCTTCACCTACCCCTTTTTCCCCACAAACTCCAAAGAGCCCTGTTTATATGCACCCAAACACTTCCCTGCTAAAACGTAATCCTGTTGACCCTGGATCTGCCTGCAGTGGTGATGGAAATTAGGGGTTCTGCTGGGGGCAGAAACTGACCTACAGGAGTTTAAACAAAGAGGGATTTTTTTTCTTAAATAGAAATCTGAAGTATAGGGTAGCCAAAGGAATCTATAATTATTAGAAATATTAGAGAATTTAGCAGTATTCAGCGTTTAATCAAGCTTGATTGACGACGTGATTGATCTAAGCTGGGAATGAGCTGGTCTCCAGAACTGGAACACACAGTTGGCATTAACGGTCATTGTCTCAGGGCCAGACTTCCAGTTCAAATGCAGTAGCCACTTAGCTTTGGGAGAGCAGCTAGTTTGCTCAGTTTGTTTTTTTCAGGAGGTTTTCTGCTTCCCCCGCCTCCTGCTATGAGGCATTTTAGGTCACTCCCTCTTGAATATGAACTCTTTTGTTTTCTGGGACAGAGTCTTGCTCTGTCACCCAGGCTGAAGTGAAGTGGCACATTCTTGGCTCACTGCAACCTCTGCTTCCCAGGTTCAAGTGGTTCTCCTGCCTCAGTCTCCCGAGTAGCTGAGACTGCAGGCATACGCCACCATGCCCGGTTAATTTCTGTACTTTTAGTAGAGATAGGGTTTCACCATGTTGGCCAGGCTGGTGTTGAACTCTTGACCTCGAGTAATCTACCTGCCTTGGCCTCCCAAAGCGCTGGCATTACAGCTGTGAGCCACTGTGCCTGCCTTAAATATGAACACTTGAACGGAGGGAAACGCGCACAGAGGGAAGCCTGAAAGGAAAACATACTTCTGAATAGAAAAGTTTGGTTTTAGCTTTTCGATGTCCATGTTTCCCTCATGTTTGCTCACGGCCTTAAAACTTAGTTACTGCTATAAATCTCATTTCCAGACTCATTTACCCTTGGAGCAACGATTGTATAACCTCATTTTTCATTTTCTCTATCATATGGAAAATGTAGAAATAAATTGTGTCCACTTGCAGAAAAGCTTCTGAAAGTAATCACTGTTTTCGAGAGCTGTGATTCGTAGAGTTTATAATGTTATTCACAGTCAACTTTGGTTAAAACAATCTTTCTGACTACTACAGTCGTGATTTTATATAAGTCATTTTGGCAAAATTCTTTGTTCTCTATAGGTCATAGATGAAACAGTAGGAAACTTCAGCAGAGCAATTCATGGTTTACAAGCTCATAACAAACTGCAGGAAGCTTGTGAGGTACTCCAGACACTAACCGCCTTGACCCCGAGATTTTCGAAGCCAGCTCAGGTAAGCAGAGAGTGACTGGGAGGGAAGAAGATAGGAAAGAGGGAAAAGTGAAAAACAGGAAGTGAATCTAAGGCTGGGTGCGGTGGCTCACGCCTCTAACCCCAGCACTTTGGGAGGCCAAGGCAGGAGGATCACATGAGGCTGGGAGTTAGGGAACTGACTGGGCAACATGGCGAAACCCATCTCTACTGGAAAAGAAAAATTCAAAAATTAGCTGGGCTTGGTGGTGGGCACCTATAATCCCAGCTACTCAGGAGGCTGAGGCACAAGAATCACTTGAACCCAGGAGGTGGAGGCAGTGAGCCATTATCACACCACTGCACTCCAGCCTGGGTGGCAGACAGAGACTATGTCTCAAAAAAGAGAACCTGGAGATAGTACCCTGTGCTTAACATTATAAAGACCGTGTTTAAATTTTAGCAAGCAAATTTTTACCTTTAAATCTGGAAAGTTAAGAATTAAATTGGTCAGTAGTGACATTCTTGGATATACTGTGTTTATATTCATTTGTTCATTAATCAGGTTATTGCCTTGCTGTTGCCTTTGTTAGAAGTGTGCCGGCATTCAGCCAGGCATGGTGGCTCATGCCTGTAATCCCAACATTTTGGGAGGCCAAAGCAGGCAGATAGCTTTAGCCCAGGAATTCAAGACCAGCCTGGGCAACATGGTGAAACCCCGTCTCTATCGAAAATTCAACAATTAACTGGGTGTGGTGGCGTGCGCCTGTAGTTGCAGCTGTTCGGGAGGCTGAGATGGGAGGATGGCTGGAAGTCAGAAGGTGGAGGCTGCAGTATGCCAGGACTGCACCACCGCACTCCAGCCTGGGCAACAGAGCCACACCCTGTCTCAAAAAGACAAAAAAACTCAGCATTGCTCTTTTCTTCAGCAATTCTTTTTTCAGTCTGGTGGTGGTAATGGGATATTTGGTCTACTTACCACTTAAAAAGAATTGTCAGTTCGTCAGAATAATAAGAAATATGAATCCTCCTTTATAGGTCATATGAAGTAATATATTCTCCTTCCCTGTCAAATTGTAACATTGTTTTTTATAAAATGCAAATTTAAAATAGTCATGTGCTGGGTGTGAGGCTCATGCCTGTAATCTAAACACTTTGGGAGACCAAGACAGCAGGATCTCTTGGAGCCAGGTGTTTGAGGCCAGCGTGGGCAACATAGTGAGCCCCCACCTCTACAATCAATTTTTAAAAATTAAGTGTGATGGTGTACACCTGTAGTCCTAGCTACTGGGGAGGCTAAGGCAGGAGGATTGCTTGAGTCCAGTCGTGATTATTCCGCTGCACTCCAGCCTGGGCAACAGAGCAAGGCCCCATCTCTTAAAAGTAAAATTTTCAAAAGTAATCATAAACAGTTCAGGGATGTATGTTTGCTTTCTGATACTCCCAGGTTCATCTCATCAATTCCCTTATTTACCTGAGTGAACAGTTACTGAGGATCCCATTTCAGAACAATAGCAGTCTGGGCTTCAAAGTTCCTGCGACTCTCTGCCTCTTTCATTCTTTCAACAATGTCATCAAAGCTGGAGAAGGAAGTTGGCAGGGATCCAAGCATGACCCTGAGCAGGTAGGTACCAGCTATGCAGGTGGCCAAATCTGCTTAGAAGCATTTTAAGCTTGGCAGGTTCAGGTATCACAGCCCCTCCCCAGACCTTTAAAGAGAACCTTGCAGAAGAAACCATCTGCCAAGCCTTCTCTGGGGTCTCCCTCCCCACCCCACCAGTGAGCCAAGACTCCCCAGTGCTACAATCAAGTGAAAATGAGTTAGGGGCTGGGACCCGGTGGCTCACGCCTGTAATCCCAGCACTTTGGGAGGCCAAGGAAGGTAAATCACCTGAGGTCAGGAGTTCGAGACCAGCCTGGCCAACATGGCAAAATCACATCTCTACTAAAAAAAATTAGCCAGGCATGGTGGCAGGTGCCTGTAATCCCAGCTACTCAGGAGGCTGAGGCAGGAGAATCTATTGAACACGGGAGACAGAGGTTGCAGTGAACTGAGATCATGCCACTGCATCTTAGCCCAGGTGACAGAGTGAGATGTCATTGGGGGGGGAAAAGTGACTTAGGAAAGTGTTGGCATACAGCAAACACTGAGTAACTAACATTTGTTATTCACATGAAAAGACGTACAACATCATTGGTCATTAGGGAAATGGAAATCAAAACCGAAATGAGATACTACTTCACACTCAAAAAGACAGAAAATAACAAGTACTTGCAAGGATGCTGAGAACTTGCAACCCCATCCATTGTTGGATTGTAAAATGATGCAGCCACTTTGGAAAACAGTTTGGCGGTTGCTTAAAACATAAAAAATAGGCCTAGCGCAGTGGCTCATGCCTGTAATCCCAAAACTTTGGGAGGCCAAGGTGGATGGATCACGAGGTCAGGAGTTCGAGACCAGCCGGCCAATATGGTGAAATCCCATCTCTACTAAAAATACAAAAAACAAAAAAAAAAACTAGCTGTGCATGGTGGTGTGCCCCTGTAGTCCCAGCTACTCAGGAGGCTGAGAGAGGAGAATCGCTTGAACCCAGGAGGCTGCAACCAGGGGGTTGCAGTGAGCCTACACCTCTCCAGAGCACTCTAGTCTGGGCAACAGAATGAGACTTCCTCTCAAAAAAAAAAAGTAAAAAATAAAATCGCCATGTAATCTAGCAATTCTCCTAGTGTCTACCCAAGAGAATTGAAAACACGTCCATACAAAAACTTGTACACTCATGTTTGTAGCAGCATGGTTTAATATCTAAATGCCAAAAAGTGGTAACTACTCACACATCTATGATCTGATGGGTGGCTAAACAGAATCTGGTCTATTCATACAATGGAATATTATTCAGCAACAAAAAGGAATGAAGTCTTGGTACATGCTCCAACATGAGCCTTGAAAACATGATGCCACGTAAAAGAAGCCCATCACAAAAGACTATATTGTGATGCATTTATATGAAATGTCCCAAGGAGGCAAATCTATAGACACAAAGTAGATTCGTGATTGCCTCGAAATAGAGGGACTAGGGATGGGGGAATGAAGAGTTACTGCTAATGGGTACCAGGTTTATTTTATTTTATGAGACAGAGTCTCATTCTGTCCTCGAGGCTGGAGTGCAGTGGCATGATCTTGGCTCAATGCAACCTCCATCTCCCAGGTTAAAGCTATTCTTCTGCCTCAGCCTCTCAAATAGCTGAAACTACAGGTATGTGTCACCGTGCCCAGCTAATTTTTTGTATTTTCAGTAGAGACAGGGTTTTACCATGTCAATCAGGTTGGTCTCAAACTTCTGACCTCAAGTGGTCCAACTGCCTCAGCCTCCCAAAGTCCTGGGACTACAGGCGTGAGCCACCACACCCAGCTACCCAGTTTATTTTAGGGAGGTTGAATCCTAAAATTAGATTGTGGTGATGGTTGCATAACCCTGTGAATATACTAAAAAACATTGTTATATACTCTCAGTGGATGAATCGTATATAGGAAAGTCATCTCAATAAAACTGTCATTTAAAAAAAACTCTATCATGAGCAGGTCTAGGCTGATAATCTGATGGGGCAAAGGCATATTTTTTGGTTGGCCCTCTTAGTTGGGTTCAAAGGAAGGTAAGTCTAGCCACATTGCAGGTACTTTGTGCTGGGTTCCAAGGCCTTCTCTAAGGAATACCAGCCTTATTACACCACTGAAAATTCCCCTTCCAATCCTCTCCAAAACATTATTTTACTGATACAAGACACTAAGATTTTACAAGTCACATGCTGTTTTCCTCTCCATGCAGGTAGAAGACATGCTGGAAATGTCCTTGGTGGCGCTTGGGAATATCGGGGAAGCACTTCTAGAGCAGAAGCAGCCTCCCGAGTCTTCTGTGACTTTGACCTCTTCCATTGCTTCTCTGCTGCTGAGCAGGTTAACAGGGGAGGAGGGAACGGGACGAGTTTCACTGTGTTTTTCACTTTCAGAGGCCATAGAAAAATTGACTTCCTTTTTCACTTGTTTCTCATTAGACAAAACCTATCAACTTTACCTCTGAGTTCTTACACGCTGGGTCACCCGGCCCCTGTGAGACTAGGCTTTCCATCGGCTTCAGCTTTGATGGAGCTCTTGAATAAACACCCTGGAGTTAATGTCCAAGTGAGTGTGAAACTGATTGTGATCAGAATGAAAATGGGATCTGATGGCCACGTAGGCACTGGGGCGAAAGTAACGTACCATGAAATGTAAGCTGAACAGGCCGGCTCAGATGAGAGAGTTTATGTGGCATTTGTTTTTATTTCATCCTGGCAGGGATAGAGACCGCTTAAAAATGATCCACTGTAGAAGTTGTGAGCATTAAACAGATTTCTGGATTTAATTAAATTTCTAGGTTGTGATTTGAATTGATCTCAACTCTGCAGTTTTTCGTTGTTGTTTTGAGACAGAGTCTCAATCTGTCACCCAGGCTAGCGTGCAGTGGCATGATCTCAGCTCACTGCAGTCTCTGCCTTCTGAGTTCAGGTGCTTCTCCTGCCCTAGCCTCCTGAGTAGCTGGGATGTCAGGCATAGCCCACCACACCCAGCTAATTTTTGTGTCTTTAGTAGAGATGTTGTTTCGCCATGTTGGCCAGGCTGGTCTCGAACTCCCAGCCTCAGGTGATCTGCCTGCCTCAGCTTCCCATAGTGCTGGGATTACAGGTGTGAGCCACTGTACCCAGCCTCTGCACTATTTAAAAAAAAGCTGGGACTATATAAGTAATTGCTGACTAAGTATACCAACCTACTCATATCAATATATTTCTTTCAGCAGTTACCTGACAAATACAGGTAGCATCGTTTCCTTATCCTGAAGAGCAAAATAGTTACTTCCTAGTAAAACAGAATCCTCTAGATACAAAGAAGAAAAATAATAATTCTGGGGGCCCCAGGTATAATTCATCTTTAATTAACTATTGCTCATAGAAGTTATCATGTAGAATGTTATTTGTGGTATTAGTAGGGGTAGCATCCCAACATTTACTTTAATACATGATATCCAGCTGGGCATGATGGCTCACACCTGTAATCCCAACACTGAGAGGCTGAAGCAGGAGGATCCCTCAAGGCCAGGAGTTTGAGACCAGCCTGACCAGCATAAGGAAACCCCATCTCTACTAAAAATACAAACATTAGCCAGGCATGGTGGCATATGCCTATAGTCCCAGCTACTTGGAAGGCTGAGGCAAGAGATTCACTTGAACCTGGGAGGCAGAGGTTGCAGTGAGCTGTGCTCATGCCACTGTACTCCAGCCTGGTTGACAGAGTGTGACTCTTTCTCTTAAAAAAATAAAATTAGACATATACGCACACATATATGGTTATATATACATATATGATATCTGATCTCTTTCTACTTATTGGGGTCATTTATAAACATTTCAGCAGTGGATAAAACTGGACTTTTCTTTGTCTCTAGGTAACAGGACTAGCTTTCAATCCCTTCAAGGATTTAGACAACAGAAACGTTGTTGGAAGCATTGGAAGTGTGTTACTAAGTGCTAATCATAAAGTGCTCCAAGTTCATGATCTAATGGAGGACATTGAGGTAACAATGGATTCTTAGGGAATAAAATAGAGAATGGGATATTCTAGAACAGGGTGGGAGGATGCAGCAACTTAGAAGGAATTATGTTAGAATGACGGCAGTGCCATTGTTTTGTTATTAACATCTTAGGAACTTTTACAGGAAGACATACCTTACCCTTAGAAAAAGTGTTTTAGGGCCGGGCGCAGTGCCTCACGCCTGTAATCCCAGCACTTTGGGAGGCCGAGGTGGGTGGACCACGAGGTCAAGCGATCGAGACCATCCTGGTCAACATGGTGAAACCCCGTCTCTACTAAAAATACAAAAAATTAGCTGGGCATGGTGGCGCGTGCCTGTAATCCCAGCTACTCAGCAGGCTGAGGCCGGAGAATTGCCTGAACCCAGGAGGCGGAGGTTGCGGTGAGCCAAGATCGCGCCGTTGCACTCCAGCCTGGGTAACAACAGCGAAATTCCATCTCAAAAAAAAATGCGTTTTAGAGAGCCAGACACAGAGGCTCATGCCTGTAATCCCAGCACTTTGGGGAGGCTGAGGTGGGAAGATCACTTGAGGTCAGGAATTTGAGACCAGCCTGGCCAACATGGTGAAACCCTGTCTCTACTAAAAATACAAAAAATTAGCTGGGCGTGGTGGTAGGCACCTGTAATCCCAGCTACTCTGGAGGCTGAGGCAGGAGAATAGCTTGAATCTGGGAGGCAGAGGTTACGGTGAGCTGAGATCACGCCACTGCACTCTAGCCTGGGCAACGGAGTGACACTTGGTGTCAAAAATAACTATTTTGGGTCTCTATGTACTTTTAACCTCAGCCTTTTCAGCTACTAACATCCAATGGGGAAGCCTTGGCTGCGACATTGGCTCACGCCTATAATCCTAGCATTTGGGAAGGCTGGAGCAGTAGGATTGCTTGAGACCAGGAGTTCAAGATGAACCTGGTCAACATAGCAAGACCCCATTTCAGGGAAAAAAGAAAAGAAAAGGAAGACCTAGGAAGTTTCCTTACCTTATCAGTATAACGGATTTTGAAAGGCATCAATGAATGGACCACTGTAATGATTGTCTCTTATTCTAGATCATGCTCTGGAGAAATGTTAGCCTGGAAACCCATCCCACCAGCGTCAACATGAGCACAGATCAGTTTACAATCACAGTGAACATCACGTCCTTGGAGAAATCCCTGATAGTGAGCATAGATCCTGACAGTCCCCTTTTAATGACGCTCTACCTGGGGTTCCAGTATCAGCCTAACTGCACTCACTTCCACCTGAACATCACTCTTCCAAAGGATAACGTGTGGCAAAAAGGTAAAACCCAATCAGCTGTTAGAAACTTACCTCGATTTTTTTTTTTTTTTTTTTTTTTTTTTTGGCCTGGGATGGAGTACAGTGGCACCGTCATTGTTCACTGCAGCCTCAAACTGTCAGGCTCAAGGGATCCTCCTGCCTTAGCCTCTTGAGTAGCTGGGACTGCAAGTGCACACCACATCTAGCTAATTTTTAAAAAAGAACTTTTGTAGAGATAGGGTCTTGCCATGTTGCCTAGGCTGGTCTTGAACTCCTGGCTTCAAGCAGTCTTCCTGTCTCAGCCTCTCAGAGTGCTGGGATTACAGGCATGAGCCACTGCGCCTGGTCAAATTTTTTTCTTGTTTAAAAAAATTTTTATTTTGAGATAATTGTAGATTCGGATGCAGTTACAAGAAATAACAGAGACAGGCCAGGCGCGGTGGCTCACACCTGTAATCCCAGCACTTTGGGAGGCCGAGGTGGGTGGATCTCCTGAGGTTAGGAGTTCAAAATTAGCCTGGTCAACCGGGTGAAAACCCCATCTCTATTAAAAATACAAAAAATCAGCCAGGCCATGGTGGCAGGCACCTGTAATCCAGGCTGCTTGGGAGGCTAAGGCAGCAGAATTGCTTAAACCCTGGAGGTGAAGGTTGTAGTGAGCCAAGCCAAGATTGCACCATTGTACTCCAGCCTGGGTGACAGAGTGAGAAGAAAAAAACTAGACAGGCTAGGTGTGCCGTGGCTTATGCCTGTAATCCCAGTGAAATCCTAGCACTTTGGGAGGGAGAGACCAGTGGATCACCTGAGGTCAGGAGTTTGAGATTAGCCTAGCCAACATGGTAAAACCTCGTTTCTACTAAAAATACAAAAATTAGCTGGTGATGGTGGTGGACACCTGTAATCCTAGCTACTTGGAAGGCTGAGGCACAAGAATCACTTGAACCTGGGAGGCAGAGGTTGCATTGAGCTGAGATGATGCTACTGCAGTCTGGCCTGGGTGACAGAGACTCTGCCTCAAAAAAAAAAATAAAAATAAATAAACAACAACAGCAACGGCTTGTATACCTTTCATCCAGCTTCTGTGAATGGCAGCATCCTGCTTAACTACAGTAAATCACAACCAGAAAATCACATGAATACACTGCACTGATTTTATGCAGTTTTCACCGGATTTACAAGCACATTTCTGTATGTTGTGTATTGTGTTCTCTGATTTGACCACGTGTACATACATGTGACCTTGAAATGCATTTTTTTTTAAGATTGATTATTGGATGGATGAGGATATATATGTGAGGAAGCAGATTTAGTAAGATGTTAATTATAGAATCTAGTTAGTATTTATATGGTTATTCCCTGTGAGGTTCTTTCTGTATGGTTGAAGATTTTCATAAGTTGAGACCCACAACAGAAGTAAGGTTCACAGCACCGTGGGTTACATGTACTTCACATTTATATATTGTAGATGAGTATATACAAAATACATCATGTGTATTTCAACTTTATTATCATTATTTTTTAATGCCTACAGCACCCAGCATTCCCAGGCAGTCTCCCATCCAAGTAATAACCAGACCCATCCCTGCTTAGCTTCCAAGATCAGGCACATGCAGGATGATATGCCTGCAGGAAGTGGTATTTGTGGGTATCTACCTTAAATGTAGTAGTGAAAAGTCTTAATGAGAGCTACACTTCTGTGTTTATTTTTACATTGGGAAAATCCCAAGTGGAGAAAGCAGGCTAGTCTCCCATCAAGACCACTTTCTGTGGTACAGCCATAGACTTCAACTTTGTTTCTTATCTTAGAATTAAGGAAGAAAGGCCTGGTGATATCTCAGTGGATGACGATGCTGTAGTTTTTAAAAGTTAAGAATTTCTGAGACTTAACATTACAGTTAAATATGTCTGGCCTGGTGTAGTGGCTCATGCCTATAATGCCAGCACTTTGAGAGGCCAAGGCAGGAGGATCGCTTAAGGCCAGGAGGTTGAGACCAGCCTGGGCAATATAGCAAGACTGTCTCTACAAAAAAAAAAAAAAAAAAAAAAAAAGGCCCGGGGTAGGGATGTGCACCTGTAGTCCTAGCTACTTGGGAGGTTGAGGCAAGGGGTTGAAAACTGCAGTGAATTTGGATCATACCACTGCACTCCAGCCTTGGTAACAGCAAGACACTGTCTCGAAAATAAAAAATAAAAATTCCTGATATATATAAATAGTGCCTAGATATATTTGGTCAAAAACATGCTCTGTGGGTATCTACTTTAAATGTAGTAGCGAAAAGTCTTTATGAGAGCTACACTTCTGTGTTTATTTTTACATTGGGAAAACTCCAAGTGGAGAAAGCAGGCTAGTCTCCCATCAAGACCACTTTCTGTGTTGAAAGAACTTTCTCTGCTTTACACACGGGCCCTTCTCACACAGGAACAATCACTTTTAAGTTCTTTCTTTTAGGCAAAGCCCTTGAGGCAGCATTGCTGACTACCAGGCTGCCCACTGCAGGGTTTGTGTGACTTTCCAACAGGCCCTTTCCCGATTCCAAAGGTGCGTTTGGTTTTGTTTTTGTTTTGAGATGGAGTCTCACTCTGTTGCCCAGGCAGGAGTGCAGTTGCGTGGTCTTAGCTCCCTGCAGCCTGAGCCTCCCAGGTTCAAGTGATTCTCATGCCTCAGCCTCCCAAGCTGCTGAGACTGCAGATGGATATACCACCACACCTGGCTAATTTTCTGTATTATTAGTAGAGACAGGGTTTTGCCATGTTGGCCAAGCTGGTCTCAAACTCCTGGGCTCAAGAGATCCTCCTGCCTTTGCCTCCCAAAGTCCTTGGATGACAGGTGTGAGCCACTGCGCCTGGCCATGCACTCAGTGTTTCTTGCTGATCTTGGCAATGATATCTTGTCATTCAAAGTGGGAAGGGGCCTTTGAGAGCCTTTGTTTGAGAAACAGGACTCTTTGAAAGATGAGAAAGCTGAGGCCCAGAGAGACCCAGTGACTGGCCTTATTCCCTACCAGCCAGCTGGTGACAGAGCCTGGCCTGACATCAGGTCCCTGGCATGCCAACCTGGGCTTTGTTCCTGGAGCCACCCTATCCCTGTCTTTGCTTCATCTTGAGGTTTCTCTTATTACCTTAGTCTTCCATCTGCTAACTTAGGTGTGTGATCATTTCATTTTTGTAAACCTCATAATCACTAGACCTAAATGATCACATGCCAAAAGAATGTCTTTTTTTTTATTTTTTTGGAGACAAAAATCTCACTCTGTTTCCCAGGCTGGAGTAAAGTGGTGCGATTTCAACTCACTGAAACTTCTCCAGGTTCAAGCAATTTTCTTGGCTCAGCCTCCAGAGTAGCTGGGAGTACAGGCCCACATCACCACACCCCACTAATTTTTGTATTATTAGTGGACGTGGGATTTTGCCACATTCACCAGGCTGGTTTTGAACTCCTGATCTCAAGTGATCCACCCACCTTGGCTTCCTGAAGTGCTGGGATTATAGGCTTGAGCCACCGTGCCTGGCCAAAGACGTAGCTCTGGAGCCTTGTCATGCCAGTGATTCCTTAGGAGCAAAGCAGTGATCCAGAGCCTGGGATTGTATTTGCTTTCAAATCATTTGTGACTCTAGGTTTATCATGGTCTCATTTGTAAAATATTAATAATAGATCCTTTAGAAGAGAGATTCTACTGGTGTTTTGGTCCCGTTTGATACACAAGTAAGTACTCTTCTTTGTTCTAAGACGAGGAGTACACGTGGGTGCTGACTCCAGAGCGTCTACAGCACGGGATTGGCACCTACTATGTAACAGCTGTGCTGAGTGAGAGCCAGGAGGGTGCTCAGCAGATGCCCAGCTTGGTTTCGGTCATCACAGCCGTCACTCAGTGTTATTACTGGGACAGCCACAACCGGACATGGAGCAGCAATGGATGCCAAGTAAGAAACGGAGCCGCCTCTGGTGCCTCTCTTCTGCTGTAGCCACCGTTAAACGCAATGTATCTGTTATCTCATTTGGGGCAGCCCAGCAAGAAAAATAATCAGGAGGTGTGAAGTGACTCTGCTTGGGCAGGAGGAGGAGGAGGAGGGTTGTGTGTGGTGGGCAGGGTGAGTGTGGCTCTTCTGAGCAGGAGCAGCTTTGTGCTTTATCGTTGTAGTTTCTTTCTCAAACAGTCCAGGGTAGACCTGACCATTGTGGATAAAATAAAGTAGTGTGGGCTGGGCACGGTGGCTCATGCCTGTAATCCCAGCACTTTGGGAGGCCGAGGCCGGTGGATCACGAGGTCAAGAGATCGAGACCATCCTGGTCAACATGGTGAAACCCCGTCTCTACTAAAAATACAAAAAAAATTAGCTGGGCATGGTGGCACGTGCCTGTAATCCCAGCTACTCAGGAGGCTGAGGCAGGAGAATTGCCTGAACCCAGGAGGCGGAGGTTGCGGTGAGCCGAGATTGCGCCATTGCGCTCCAGCCTGGGTAACGAGCGAAACTCCATCTCTAAATAAATAAATAAATAAATAAATAAATAAATAAATAAATAAATAAATAAATAAATAAAGCAGTGTGCGGAAGCTGTAAAATTCTACAAGTCCTAAATAGGTTGTGGGTGGGTAAAATGAAGCCTCTTGCTAAACAAAAGAGAACTTTCATAGCTCAAAAAAGAACTATGTTCTCAGATTCTTGTGTTGTCCAGGCCAAGTGAGGACAGGTTGTCACTTTTGTAATTAATCACCTTGTTCCTGGTGTCCAGCTGGTTTAAAACACCACTATTACATTTGCACACTTGTGATTCTGTGAGATTACGCCTGATAAAGTCCTGGTTCAGTAGCTCAAAGAACATGATGTAATGTCTTGCAAAGCATGAAGCTGTCCTAAAAAGAGCTGAGAAAGCGCCATCTAGACTGGAAGAGAAGGAAAGAATTTTTTTTTTTTTTTTGAGATGGGGTCTTACTGTATTGCTCAGGCTGGAGTGCAGTGGCGTGATCACGCCTTACTGCAGCCTCAACTTCCTGGGCTCAAAAGATCCTCCTGCCTCAGCCTCTCAAGTAGTGGGGATGAAAGGCATATGCTACCACGCCTGGGTAATTTTTTGGTCAGAAAGGGTCTCAACATGTTGCCTACACTGGTCTTGAACATCTGGGCTCAGGCAATCCTCCCACCAGCACTTTGGGAGGCCAGAAAGAGGATTTTTAGGAAGGAATCGGTACCATTCACAGCCTCAGGCAGTCAGAGCTGGACAGTGGCTATCAAGCAAATGTATAAACAGGGCTTGCTAAAAAGGAGATTCTGATTCAGTAGCTCTGGTCAGGCCCTGAGAGTCTTTCTAACAAGCTCCCAGCTGATGCCAGTGTTGCTTGTTAGGGAAACCATACTTTGAGAAGCTTGAGAGCTTTTCCCCTCCCACAGCACAGACCCATTGATTGCAGAAGGCATCGGCTATTTCCCACCTCCTTGAAGCACTCTGAAGTGCTTGGACTCCATGAAAGGAATTGAGCTGCCCCAAGTACAGCACAAGAGTTTTTTGTTTGTTTGTTTGTCTTGAGACGAAGTTTCATTCTTGTTTCCCAGATCCTGGAGTACATTGGCAGGATCTCGCAGGTTCAAGGAATTCTGCTGCCTCAGCCTCCCAAGTAGCAGCGATTACAGGCACCTGCCACTACATCCAGCTAATTTTTTTTATTAGCAGAGAGGGGTTTCACCATGTTGGCCAGGATGATCTCAAACTCCTGATCTCAGGTGATCCGCCCGCCCCGGCCTCCCAAAGTGCTGGGATTAAAGGCATCAGCCACCATGCCCGGCCAAGAGTTCTTCTAAGGGCAGACTAGATTGGGCCCCCAGGACTTAACTCTGTGCCATGGAAATAAGTAGTAATGACAGTACTTTAGGCTTTTCATTCACGAAACCAAACATAGAATTGGTAGCTTCCATATAATTACCTTCTGACATTTTTTTAAATATTAGGAAGAAATGTTCCAACATACGGAAAGTCATAAGAAATAATATAAAAAACACTGAATGCACATTCAACTTTATTAAAGTTCATATTTTCCTCAGCTTCAGATTCTCTTTAAAAATTTCAGGAATAATTGAAGCCCTTTGTTTAGCCCTCCCTAATATCTCTCCTTCCTTCCCTTCCACCAAAGGTACCTCCTGGCCTGAATTTGTGTGGGTATTCATTCTTTCAGCAGGCTTTTATTGAGTATCTTCTACATGCCATGCCCAAGTCTAGGAACTAGACATAAGGCAGTGAACAAGACAATATCCTCATGAACTTACATTCTGGAGAGGGAAACAGACAACAAATAGATAAGTCTTTTGCATGCTTCTTAGGCTTTGTGTAAATAGCACTATACTGTACATATCTCTTTAATGTGTTTATTTACTCAGCATTTATCCGTGTGGATACATCTATCTCTACTTCGTTCATTTTTTACATTTTTGTTTGTTTATTTTTGAAGATGGAGTTTTACTCTGTCACCCAGGCTGGAATGTGGTGGTATGATCTCAGCTCACTGCAAACTCTGCCTCCTGGATTCAAGTAATTCTCCTGCCTCAGCCTCCCAAGTAGCTAGGACTATGGGCATGCGCCACCACCCCTGGCCAATTTTTATATTTTAGGTAGACATGGGGTTTTGCCATGTTGTCCAGGCTGGTCTCAAACTTCTAGCCTCAGGTAATCCACCTGCCTCAGCCTCCCAAAGTGCTGGGATTACAGGTGTGAGCCACCACACCTGGCTAATTCATTTTTAACTGCTGTATAGAATTCCATTAGTTTGTCTTTGCCTACTTATGTATTTATTAATTTGTATGTTCCATTATTGAACATGTAAGTTTTTTCCTATTTTTGGTAATTACAAATAAGGGTGACAAAACATTTAGTATATCTTTATACACATGTGCAAAGTTCCCCTAGAACATACAAACATTCAGAACTGGAATTGCAGGATTCAAAGAGTTGGTGCTTCTTCAGCTGTACTAGGTGTGCTGAATTGCTTTCCACATTGGTTACAGCAGTTTACACCATGACCAGCAGCAAGTGAGAGCTCTAAGCATCTCTTTCCATCTCTAAATTGCCAATGTTTATGTCTGGCTCGTCCTTAGCACTCTATCCGACTAGAGTCAACATCTTGATTCTAATTCCAGGTTGGGCCACAGAGCACAATTCTGAGGACACAGTGTCTCTGTAACCACCTGACCTTCTTTGCCAGCGACTTCCTTGTCGTGCCCAGGACTGTGAATGTTGAAGACACTATCATACTCTTCCTTCGCGTGACCAGCAATCCTGTTGGGGTGTCGCTGCTGGCCAGCCTTTTAGGATTCTACGTGATCACAGTTGTGTGGGCCTGGAGAAAGGATCAAGCAGATATGCAGAAGGTAATGAGACTTGGAGTCCAACAGTTTCGCCATACTGAGTATGTTAAATAATATGGGGAAAAAACATACCTTTGTCAAAAGGAGCTGGTGGCACAATACTGAGAGGCATAGAAATTCAGGTGAAACCTTTCTTAAATTTATCTTCATGTCCACTATCTCAAGGCCTAAGAACTTTTTCTCTCTTTTTTTTTTTTTCTGGATCCAAGATGGGACCATTGTGGGACTCATTTTAGATTAGGAATGAGCCAAAAGAAAACACCAGCTGGGTGCAGTGGCTCATGCCTGTAATCCCAGCCTTTGGGAGGCCAGGGCAGGAGGATCACTTGAGCTCAGGAGTTCAAGACCAGCCTGGGCACCATAGCAAGACTTTGTCTCTACTGAAAATTAAAAAAAAAAAAAAAAAAAAAAATTAGCCTGGCATGGTGGTGCATCCTTGTAGTCCCAGCTACTTGGGTAGCTGAGGTGGGAAGATCACTTGAGCCCAGGAGCTTGAGGCTGCAGTGAGCTATTGTTGTGCCACTTTACTCCAGCCTGAGCAACAGAGACCTTGTCTCCAAAAAAAAGCAAAAAAAAATCAAAAAAAAAAAAGGAAAAGAAAACACCTAGAGAGCTTAACTACAGTCAAATGCAACTTTATCCTACTTTATACATTGGATATGAAAGTTGTATGTAAGTTGGCGGGGCACAGTGGCTCAAAAACTGTAATCCCAGCACTTCGGGAGACCACGTCAGGCGGATCACCTGAGGTCGGGAGTTCAAAGACCAGCGTGGCCAACATGCTGAAACCTAGTCTTTACTAAAAATAGAAAAATTAGCCAGGTGTGGTGGAACAAGCCTGTAATCCCAACTACTTGGGAGGCTGAGGCAGCAGAATTGCTTGAGCCCAGGAAAAGTAGGTTGCAGTGAGCCGAGATCGTGCCACTGCACTCCAGCCTGGCTGACAGAATGAGACTATGTCTCAAAAAAAGAAAGTAAGTTATATGTAAGTCAAATTATAACTTAATGTAACTGGCTAGGTAAAGTGGCTCATGCCTGTAATCCCAACACTTTGGGAGGCCAAGGCTGGTGGATCACTTGAAGTCAAGAGTTAAAGACCAGCCTGGCCAACATGGTGAAACCCCATCTCTACTGAAAATACAAAAATTAGCCAGGCGTGATGGTGGCACCTGTAATCCTAGCTACTTAGGAGGCTGTGATGGGGGGATCACTTGTACCAGGGAGGTAAATGTTGCAGTGAACCAAGAACACACCACTTCACTCTAGCCTGGTCAACATAGCAAGACTCTGTCTAAAAAAAAAAAATAAAAATGTAACTATAATATGCAAGAAACCTATATGGAATCTTTATAAAAACAAAAACCTTGGCCGGGCACAGTGGCTCACGCCTGTAATCCCAGCACTTTGAGAGGCCAAGGTGGGCAGATCATCATGAGGTCAAGAAATTGAGACCATCCTGGCCAACATGGTGAAACCCCATCTCTACTAAAAATATAAAAATTAGCTGGGCGTGGTGGCAGGCACCCGTAATCCCAGCTACTCGGGAGGCTGAGGCAGGAGAATCACTTGAACCCAGGAGTCGGAGGTTGCAATGGCACAATCTTGGTTCACTTGCGCCACTGCACTCCAGCCTGGGCGACCGAGCAAGACTCCATCTCAAAAAAAAAAATTTTTTTTGACCATCTCTTCTTTCCATGTGTATGTTCTTCCTATGTTTTCTTGCCCTTGGAAATTCTAGAATACGCCAGGTGTTCATTTCTTGTTGCCCTGAGTTCAGGGTTGTCAGTGTCAGTAAACACCAATTCAGGCTACCTAGTTAAATTTGCATTTTAAACAAATAGTATGTTTTTAGTGTAAGCATGTCCCAAATCATTCATAGTTTGTCTGAAATGCAAATTTAGCTGGGCTTTCTCTGTTATGTGGTGACCGTACCTGAGTGGGAGGGAGGTGGGAGGATTTAGGGGCCCAAGACATGATCAGGTGATTCTGTGACTATTTCACTTGAGAGGCACAGGCCAGGAGGTTCAGGCCTCATCCCCACTTTAGTGGCTTAGGTCTGCCGGTGTGTCTGTCTGCTGACCACACGTCCGCCCTGCTTTCTCTAGGGCTGCCACACCTGCGGTAGTGCCTCCTCTTGCTCCTCAGCTGGAGGCAGGAGCTATACTAAGCGGAGGCCCGGTATGTTGCTTAGTTCTGCTTTTCTTGCAGGTGAAGGTTACCGTCCTGGCTGATAATGACCCCAGCGCTCAGTTTCACTACCTCATTCAGGTCTACACCGGATATAGAAGAAGAGCTGCTACAACAGCTAAGGTTAATGAGAAAAATCTTCTTCCCTCATTGCGTCGTGTCTTCTGCCACATGAGGTGCACTCTGAGTTGGTGATATCCTGGCGACCAATAGCACTTTAAAAGAGATCAGAGGCTGGGCGTGGTGGCTCATGCCTGTAATCCCAGAACTTTGAGAGGCCGAGGCAGGCAGATTATGAGGTCAGAAGTTCGAGACGAGCCTGATCAACATGGTGAAACCTCATCTCTACTGAAAATACAAAAGTTGGCCAGGCACGGTGGCTCACGCTTGTAATCCAAGCACTTTAGAGGCCAAGGCGGGCGATCACCTGAGGCCAGGAGTTCAAGACCAGCCTGACCAACATGGTGAAACCCTGTCTTAAAAAAAAAAAAATACAAAAATTAGCTGGGCATGGGGGTGAGCGCTTGTAATCTCACCTACTCAGGAGGCTGAGGCAGGAGAATAGCTTGAACCCGGTAGGCAGAAGTTGCAGTAAGCAGAGCTCGCAGTGAGCTGAGATCACGCCACTGCATTCCAGCCTGGGTGACACAGCGAGACTCCATCTCAAAAAAAAAAAAAGATCAGAGATTGGTATTTTATAGTTCTAAACTGTACATGTGGGCCAGGCACGGGGGCTCCTGCCTGCACTTCCAACACTTTGGGAGGCCAAGGAAGGCAAGTCCCCAGAGGTCAGGAGTTTGAAACCAGCCTGGCCAACGTGGCAAAACCCCTTCTCTACTAAACTGCAGAAGTTAAATGAGGGTGATGGCCCATGCCTGTAATCCCAGCTACACAGGATGAGGAGGCATAAGAATTGCTTTAACTCTGGAGGTGGAGGTTGCAGTGAGCCGAGACCGCACCACTGCACTCCAGTCTGGGTGACAGGCCAAGATTTTGTCTCAGAAAGAAAGACTGTACATATGAAGAGCTCTCTATGCTTGTCTAAGATCTGAAAGACAGTCTAAACAGTTTTCTATGTCTTCATCTTTCTCCTTATGGGTAAACCCAAAGAATCATGTTAAAACTCCCCATATTTTACCTTTCCCTGTCTCGTTATAGGTTGTCATCACCCTCTATGGATCAGAGGGACGGAGTGAACCCCATCACCTTTGTGACCCCCAGAAGAGAGTCTTTGAACGAGGGGGCCTGGATGTCTTCCTTCTCACCACTCATTCCTCTCTAGGGGAACTGCACAGCCTTCGGCTCTGGCATGACAATTCTGGCCTCAGTCCTTCCTGGTGAGCACATGTATCGCATTGACTGTTGCTGTTTCTTTGTGGATCTAAGAGAGAAGAAAGCTTATCACCACAATAAATAACAGTAAATCTTTGAGCCAAATAGTAACAAATGACTGTTATATTTAAGTTCTCAAGCTACCTACAAAGAATAAGCCCTGGAATGAAGCATGAGAAATTAACAATACAATTTTTTGGAAGGTAGAATAATAGATGCTTTGTTTTCTCTCATTTTATTTATTAAATTCCATGACTGTATGCAGCAAATAACACCAACGAAATGTTGCCTGAAAGCGCCACAAATTAAAAGTATTTCTAAATATGAAACACATCCGTAAAGACTAACTTTAATAAACAACTATCTACTGATAGTCAAACTTAAGAGCTTAAGGGCAGGGTGCAGCGGTTCACCCCTGTAATCCAATACTTTGGGAGGCCAAGGCAGGAGGATCACTTGAGGCCAGGAGTTTGAGAACAGCCTGAGCAACATAGGAAGACCCTGCCTCTACAAAAAAAAAAAATCAAAAAAATTCACCAGGCGTGGTGGTGTGCACCTATAATCTCAGCTACTCAGGAGCCTGAAGTGGGAGGATCACTTGAGCCCAGGAGGTTGAAGCTGCAGTGAGCATGTCTGCACCACTAGCCTGGGCAACAGCAAGACCCTGTCTTGGGGTGGGGGAAAAATGTCAAGATCTTAAGGAGAAAGAATAGATTTACCATGTGAGATGTGCCTGGGGAATTAGAGAAATAAACAGATGATGATAAAGTGCTTGAACCTCACATGTGTTAGGTTTGAATGATTCAGCATCTTGCACTCAGAATGAGGAGAGGTGCTAGAGAAAGTAGATGATACAATTAAGAATGAAGATTACTGATTCCTTGGAGTTGGGAAAAAAAGAAAAATGGAGTGGAAGTCTTAAGGCTCAGGCCCTCAAAAGAATCTGTTGCTAAATGTTGCCCACCTGTAAAGAGCATGTAATCTGCTTACATTTATTAGCAAAATAAATTACATTTATTTCACTAGGCTGGATAGACCAGCCACTGGGCCAATAGAGCCTAATAACTTCCTTGCTGCTTCCGTTCTGTTCCAGTATGCACAAATCAGCTAGTAAACCATCCTTCCAGTTTTATTTGTAAAGGCGAATAATGTATAGCAAGCGCTTGAAAAGATGTGCAACGTGCTTAGTCATCAGGAAATGAAAATGACAGAGTACGAGCCACCCATCAGAATGGCTTAAATTTAAAATGCTCACAAAAGGCCAGGTGTGGTGGCTCACACCTGTAATCCCAGCACTTTGGGAGGCTGAAGCGGGCAGATCACTTGAGGTCAGAAGTTCAAGACCAGCCTGGTCAACATAGTGAAACCCTGTCTCTACTAAAAATACAAAAATTAGCCGAGTGTGGTGCAAGGACCCATAATCCCAGCTACTTGGGAGGCAGAGGCATGAGAATTGTTTGAACCCAAGAGGTGGAGGTTGCAGTGAGCAGAGATCATGCCAGTGCACTCCAGCCTGGGGGACAGGGTAAGACTCCATCTCAAAAAAAGTATGCAGGCCAGGCACAGTGGCACATGCCTATAATCCCAGCACTTTGGGAGACAGAGGAGGACAGATTGCCTGAGCCCGGGAGTTCAAGACCAGCCTGGGCAATGTGTCAAAATCCCATTTCTGGAAAAAATACAAATATATATATATATAGCTGGGCATGGTGTTGCATGCCTGCAGGTTGAGATACCCAGGAGGCTGAGGTGGGAGGATCACTGAGCCTGGTGGTGGAGGCTGCAGTGCGACATGATCACACTACTGCACTCCAGCCTGGGCAACAGACTGAGACTCTGTCTCGAAAAAATAAAATAGGCCAGGTGCAGTTGCCCACGCCTGTAATCCCAGCACTTTGGGAGGCTGAGGCGGGCGGATCACAAGGGCAGGAGATCAAGACCACCCTGGCCAACATGGTGAAACCCCATCTCTACTAAAAATATAAAAATTATCTCGGCACGGGGCCCGCACCCGCAGTCCCAGCTACTCAGGAGGCTGAGGCAGGAGAATTGCTTGAACCCAGGAGACGGAGGTTGCATTCAGCCAAGATTGTGCCACTGCACTCCAGCCTGGCAACAGAGCAAGACTGTCTCAAAAAAAATAAAAAAGTAAAAAGTAAAGATTGTGTATAGGAAAAAAGCTAGAGTATATATAATAAATTATTATAGTTATCTCCAGGTAGTAGGATTATAAATTTTTTAAATTTTCTTCAGTGTACTTTTAGGTATGTTGACAAATTTTAATGATGGATGTTATCTCGTAATAATAGCAAAATAATTTTGAAATTTAACTCTTTTAGAGAAAGCACCCAAAGAAATTTATACTGATGTAATATTTTCTACTTTTCTCGCAATTTCTTACCACTGGTTTATATCCATTGTAACTCTATATGTAGTCTTTGATTATATAAAAATAAAAATACTATTTTTTTTAGCTCACGATGATTTCATGCCCCTCAAGGATAAAGATACTGTCTTTTTTTTTTTCACACAAAAGTTTTTAGTTTATTAATACGCTTCTCGTGAAAAATCCACAACGGCCACAGGTAACATCATTGCGGCACCTTAACTCCTTCGACTGTGATCCAGTCTCCAGCTCGCTTTTTGCCAGCCCCAACATTGGCCTTTGCGGTCCCCCTGGCTTTCTTCATTCTGTTCTTGCGTTCCTTTCGTTGCTTTCTTGAGGTCTTTTTCTTCTCATTCAGGCCATGTCTTGCAAGTCTATGTTTGGGTTCATTTTTCTTTGCATAATCCAGGGAATCATAAATCATGCCAAAGCCAGTTGTCTTGCCACCACCAAAATGAGTTCTGAATCCAAATACAAAGATGACATCCGGCGTGGTCTTGTACATTTTGGCTAGTTTTTCCCGAATTCCTGTCTTAGGCGCTGTTGCCTTCCCGGGGTGAAGGACATTAATGACTATTGGTTTCCTCTGAAGTAGTCGGTTAGTCATGAACTTTCTAGTGTGGATAGTTACTGTGTCGTTCATGATGGCGGCCTATCCTTAGACAGCCGAGGAGGAAAAGAGAAAGATACTGTCTTATTAGTATTCTATTCTCAGCTAGTACAATGCCAGGATTATAGAGGGACTGGTAAACACTTGTTATAATTAATAATTACAATTAATATTGTAACAATAAATATTCATTACATTAAATTCTCAGGGTTATGTGTCACCTCTAGAGCTTCCTATCAGGTATCATGGCTCTTTTTGTTTTGTTTTGTTTGAGACAGAGTCTTGCACTGTCACCCAGGCTGGGGTGCAGTGGTACAATCTCAGCTCACTGCAACCTCTGCCTCCCAGGTTGAAGCGATTCTCATGCCTCAGCCTCCCGAGTACCTGAGACTACAGGTGTGTGCCACCACACCCAGCTAGTTGTTGTGTTTTTAGTAGGGGTGGGGTTTTACCACGTTGGCCAGGCTGGTCTCAAACTCCTGGCCTCAAGCAACCCATCCACCTCAGTCTCCCGGAGTGCTGGGATTACAGGCATGAGTCATTGTGCCCAGCACTTAAAGCTCTTTTGAAGGCATTCTCTAGTCTCCATTTGATTTTCTTTTCTTATTGTTTATTTTGTTTATTTTTGAGGCAGGGTCTTCCCCTGTTGTTCAGACTACAGTGAAGTGACATGATCATGGCGTGCTGCAGCTTCAACCTCCTGGGTTCAAATGATCCTCCCACATCAGCCCCCAATGAGCTGGGACTGCAGATGCATGCCACCACACCTGGCTAATTTTTCTTTTTTTATAGAGATGGAGTCTCCCTGTGTTACCCAGGCCAGTCTCAAATTCCTGGGCTCTAGCAAACCTATTTTGGCCTCCCAAAGTGCTGGGATTGCAGGTGTGAGCCATTGCACCTGGCCTGTTTTTATTTTTTAATTGCAAAAGTAATATCTGTGCTTTAATGCAGACAACTTGGAAAGCACAGGAAAGCAAAAGACTACTACTCTTTTTTTCTTTTCTTTTTTTTTTTTTTTTTTAAGCAAAAGACAGTTTTTTTCCATAATCTTTCTGGTAATCATAGTGACTTTCCTAACACTCACATTAGACTCTGTACTTTTTCTTACATTTGAAAGAATATGAGAATAAAAGTTACAATTGATCATAAAAAGCCTGGGACTAGAAAATGAATATTTTCTTCTATATCGTGTTTTATTCTACTTTTATTATACTTAGCTTTTTTTCCCTTATTTTCTGAAACAAGGTCTGGCTCCGTCACCCAGGGTGGAGTGCAGTGGCATGATCACAGCTCACTGCAACCTCTGTCTCCCGGGCTTAAGTGATTCTCCCACCTCAGCCTCCTAAGTAGCTGGGCCCACAGGCATGCACCATCATGCCTGGCTGATTTTTGTATTTTATGGAAATGGGGCTTCACCACGTTGCCAAGACTAGTCTCGAATTCCTGTGCATGAGCAATCCACTCATCTCTGCTCCCAAAATGCTGGGATTGCAGGCACAAGTCACCAACCCTGGCCCATGCTTTGCTTTTAAACCATAGCTTTAAATGTATAAAATGCACTGTCTAGCTGAATCAATGCAGCTTAGTCACCTGTTGTTTCATAAACTGCTTCAATGAGACAGTCCCCAGAAATACCTTAGGTTTAAAGGAGTCTATATTCCCAACACAGAAAATAACGTTCAACTAAAATGAAGATTTTCACGCGAGCAATTTAAGTGGTTTCATGACATTAAACACAGACCCTTGGAGAAAATAGCATCATTACGGTGAAGCAGGAGGTTTGCTGACTAGTGAGATGAAGTCAATAGGTTGAACAGTCAGGTGTCCCAGAGGACAAGTGTGTGAGTGGCTGAAGTTAGTGGAAAAGTTAGTGATAAAACACTGTGGCTGGGAAAAGGATGAAATCTCAGGGCCTTTGCCTCAGTGAAGTGAAAATGAGGCCAGACTAAGTAGAGTGAGAAGTTGTCGATGTAAACATTAAAGACTATGCCCCATTTATACCCCGGATGATGAAAGAGAGGCATATGGGATATTTGAAAAGGTGGCAAACCACTGTCTCATACAGGACAGAGAAAGGTTATAAAAAGTATATGTACACTGGGCACAGTGGCTCTCACCTATCATCCCAGCACTTTGGGAGGCCGAGGCCGGTGGATCACGAGGTCAAGAGATCAAGATCCTCCTGGCTAACGTGGTGAAACCCCATGTCTACTAAAATACAAAAAATTAGCCGGGTGTAGTGGCATGTGCCTGTAGGCAGGAGAATTGCTTGAACCCAGGAGGCAGAGGTTGCAGTGAGCCCAGATTGTACCACTACACTCCAGCCTGGGCCACAGGGTGAGACTCTGTCTCAAAAAAAAAAAAAAAGTATATAGGTGAGAAAGGTTTGAAGTCTGGTGTCTGATACATGAACTCCCTTAGAAGTTGGGAAGGCAGGCCGGGTGAGATGGTTCAAGCCTGTAATCCCAGCACTTTGGGAGGCTGAGGTGGGTGGATCACGAGGTCAAGAGATCGAGACCATCCTGGTCAACATGGTGAAACCTCGTCTCTACTAAAAATGCAAAAAATTAGCTGGGCATGGTGGCACATGCCTGTAATCCCAGCTACTCAGGAGGCTGAGGCAGGAGAATTGCCTGAACCCAGGAGGTGGAGGTTGCAGCAAGCCGAGATCACACCATTGCACTCCAGCCTGGGTAACAAGAGCGAAACTCCGTCTCAAATAAATAAATAAATAAAATAGAGGTTGGGAAGGGAAATATAAGATCTAATTTCTTTTTTTTTTTTTGAGTGGGGTCTCACTCTGTCACTCAAGCTGGAATGCAGTGTTGCAATTTCAACTCACTGCAGCCTTGATCTCCTGGGCTCAAATAATCCTTCCACCTTAGCCTCCCAAGTAGCTTAGGACTACAGGCGAACACCACCATGCCCAGCTAATTTTTATATATATTTTAGAGACGGGATTTTGCAATGTTGCCCAAGTTGGGCTAACACTGCTGAGCTCAAGCAATTCACCTGCCTCCGTTTCCCAAGGTGCTGGAGTTACAGACGCACACCACCATGTCCGGCCTCTACTCTCCTTTCTGTCCTTAGTTCTTGCCTTGCAATGAGACAGGTCGTTTACTTGGATGGTTACTAATGGTGCGATATTACGTCTTACTACAAACAACTGATTCGAGCCCACCTCCCTAACATGACTGTCTTCATTTTACTATAGGTATGTCACCCAAGTAATTGTCTGTGACATGGCAGTTAAGAGGAAATGGCATTTCCTGTGCAATTGCTGGCTGGCTGTGGACCTCGGAGACTGTGAGCTTGACCGGGTCTTCATACCAGTTTCAAAGAGAGAGCTCTTTTCCTTTAGGTACTGTTGGAAAATTACTATTAACAGTGAATATTGATGTTCACTATTAATTGTTCACTATTAATTGAAATGTTCACTATTAATTGAATTGTTTTTAATGCAAATTATTTTATTAATATATTATTTCAAGCATACATTAGCATTACTGTTGTGGTTGTAAATGGTATAACCATTATCTTAAAAATCAGAAGCCTGACAAGTATAAAACTTAAAAGTGTTGCCATTATTTTCTGAAACTGCTTACCCAGAGAATCATTTATAAATAATTTACTAAGATATCTAGGAATAAAACAATCGCTCAGTGGAATATAAAAAGGATGCCACTACTTCCACGGTGCAAATACGAGGACAAAACATAAACATAGAGGAAAGTGTGAGAGAGCTGTAGCCTTCGACTGATTGTCAGAGATATGAGTAAACTGGCCAGGCACCATGGCTCACACCTACAATCCCAGCACTTTGGGAGGCTGAGGCCAGTGGATCACTTAGGGTCAGGAGTTCAAGACCAGCCTGTCCAACATGGCAAGATCCTGTGTCTACTAAAAATTAAAAAAATTAGCCAGGCATGGTGGTGCATGCCTGTGATCTCAGCTACTCAGGAGGCTGAGGCATGAGAATCACTTGAATATGGGAGGCAGAAGTTGCAGTGAGGCAAGATTGTGCCACTGCACTCCAGCCTGGGCAACAGAGCAAAACCCCATCTCAAAAAATACAAAGATGCTAGTAAACCAAAATAATTAAAGCAATGTGGTATACAGGTAAATTCACAGACAGACCAGGAGAACAGTATAATGTGTGTATCTACTTCTGTATCTTTCTAGGTATTCATGTATCTTTCTGTGTCTCCTGAATGCTAAAGATGAGAATATGCCTAGGAGACTATACCTCTGCTACCTGATACTCTTCTTCCCTTCAGTTTTCTGGTTCAAGCTGTAGGAGGCCCAAACACCATGTCCTGGCCAGGCATGGTGGCTTACACCTGTAATCCTAGCATTTTGGGAGGCTGAGGCAGGCGAATCACTTAAGGCTAGGAGTTTGAGACCAGCCTGGCCAACATAGCAAAACCCCATCTCCACCAAAAGTACAAAAATTAGCCAGACATGGTGGTGTGCGCCTGTACTACTTGGGTGGCTGAGTCAGAAGGATGGCTTGAACTGGGGAAGTGGAAGTTGCAGTGAGCCAAGATCGAGCCATTGTGCTCCAGCCTCAGCGACAAGAGAGAGACCCTGTCTCAAAACAACGAAATCAACCAAACACTGTGTCCTTACATTAAAATGCCTAAAGGTAAAAACATGAAGCTGTTTGTTCTGGGATTTGACTCGCATCACACAGATGGGGATCTGCGTGATTGAGTAGTGAGGATGTCCAGAACAGCAAGAAATGTGTGTTTCTTTATCAAGATCTGCTCCAATTACAATTGTTGTGTAACAAATTACTCCCCAAGCTCAGTGGATTGAAACAACCATTTTACTTTTCTCCTGGTTTTGTGGGTCAGAAATTGAGTGAAGCCATGGCGGGGGAGTTTTCCCTTGGGCTCGTTCATCCCGACTGGGTCTCTACTCATCTGTGGGCTTCTCTGCTATATTTCCAAAAAATGATTTGCTCACAAGGTCAGCAGGTGGCGCTGGCTGTCAACTGAGGGCTCATCTGTGGCTGTCCGCAAAGCACCTATGCATGGCACCTGCAGCAGCCTCAGAAGAGTGTTGTTTTTCACAAGGTGGCTGTCTCCTTCCAGAATGGGCGGTTGAACAGAATTAAGTGGAGGCTTTGGCCTTTTATATACTAACTTTGGAAATAAGATTTCAGGAGAAGGGCCAGGTACGGTGGCTAATACCTGTAAGCCCAGCACTTTGGGAGGCTAAGATGGGTGGATCACCTGAGGTCAGGAGTTAGAGACCACCCTGGCCAACATGGTGAAACCCCCTCTCTATCAAAATGACACATATTAGCCTGGTGCTGTGGTGCTCTCCTGTAGTCCCAGCTACTGGGGAGGCTGAGGCAGGAAAATCACTTGAACCCGGGAGATGAAGGCTGCAGTGAGCCAAGATCGTGTCACTACACTCCAGCCTATGCCAAGGAGGAAAGACTTGAAAAAAGTCTTTGAAACTAAAAAACATTCATTAAGCAGGAAGTGGAAAAAATGAGACCCTATCTCCAAAACAAAAGCAAACAAAAAATAGATATTTTAAATTGTGTGTTGCTTGTGTCTAGGAATAAACTGGTAGAAGATTTCTCTCCTTTATGAAAACTTAAGAAGTAGTGAATACAGTTTCTCTTCTGTATGCTTGTTACAGTTCTAGGTTTGTTTTGCTTTGATTTCTGAGATAGGGTCTCACTGTGTTGCCCAAGCTGGTCTCAAACCCCTGGGCTCAAGCAGTCCTCCCACCTCAGCTTCTTGCATAGCTAGGATTACAGGCACACAACTAGTTCTAGTATTTTTAAAACATATATAGGTATATTTATTCAAATATATTCATTTTTGTTGTTGAAATGTCATTTTTTATCTGTTTAATTTCTGTGTTTCCAATAGAGGTATGACACTCTGGGCGTTTTTCTTATTGTTGAAGTAGCTCTTTTAATAGTTCTAATGAGAGGTGTGTGTCCATCTTTACTCTCGACTCTTAGTTTAGCTGTTTAGCTGGATATAAATTTTTTGCTATCCTTCCCTTAACACTTTGAAGATTTTTTTTCTTTATTTTATTTATTTATTTATTATTTTTTATTTTATTGCATTTTAGGTTTTGGGGTACATGTGAAGAACATGCAAGATAGTTGCATAGGTACACACATGGCAGTGTGATTTGCTGCCTTCCTCCCCTTCACCTATATCTGGCATTTCTCCCCATGCTATCCCTCCCCAACTCCCCACCCCCCATTGTCCCTCCCCTATTCCCCCAACAGACCCCAGTGTGTAGTGCTCCCCTCCCTGTGTCCATGTGTTCTCATTGTTCAACACCCGCCTATGAGTATTCATCTTCTGTTCTTGTGTCAGTTTGCTGAGAATGATTGTTCTCCAGGTTCATCCATGTCCCTACAAAGGACACGAACTCATTGTTTTTGATGGCTGCATAATATTCCATGGTGTATATGTGCCACATTTTCCCTGTCCAGTCTATCATCAATGGACATTTGGGTTGATTCCAGGTCTTTGCTGTTGTAAACAGTGCTGCAATGAACATTCGTGTGCATGTGTCCTTATAGTAGAACGATTTATAGTCCTTTGGATGTATACCCAGTAATGGGATTGCTGGGTCAAATGGAATTTCTATTTCTAGGTCTTTGAGGAATCACCACACTGTCTTCCACAATGGTTGAATTAATTTACACTTACACCAGCAGTGTAAAAGTGTTCCTTTTTCTCCACATCCTCTCCAGCATTTGTTGTCTCCAGATTTTTTAATGATCACCATTCTAACTGGCGTGAGATGGTATCTCAATGTAGTTTTGATCTGCATTTCTCTAATGACCAGTGATGATGAGCATTTTTTCATATGTTTGTTGGCCTCATGTATGTCTTCTTTTGTAAAGTGTCTGTTCGTATCCTTTGCCCACTTTTGAATGGGCTTGTTTTTTTTCTTGTAAATCTGTTTTAGTTCTTTGTAAATTCTGGATATCAGCCTTTTGTCAGATGGGTAAACTGCAAAATTTTTTTCCCATTCTGTTGGTTGCTGATTCACTCTAATGATTGTTTCTTTTGCTGTGCAGAAGCTGTGGAGTTTCATTAGGTCCCATTTGTCTATTTTGGCTTTTGTTGCCAATGCTTTTGGTGTTTTGTTCATGAAGTCCTTGCCTACTCCTATGTCCTGAATGGTTTTGCCTAGATTTTCTTCTAGGGTTTTTATGGTGTTAGGTCTTATGTTTAAGTCTTTAATCCATCTGGAGTTAATTTTAGTGTAAAGTGTCAGGAAGGGGTCTAGTTTCTGCTTTCTGCACATAGCTAGCAAGTTTTCCCAACACCATTTATTACACAGGGAATCCTTTCCCCATTGCTTGTTTTTGTCAGGTTTATCAAAGATTATATGGTTGTAGATATGTTGTGTTGCCTCCGAGGCCTCTGTTCTGTTCCATTGGTCTATATCTCTGTTTTGGTACCAGTACCATGCTGTTTTGATTACTGTAGCCTTGTAGTATAGTTCGAAGTCCAGTAGTGTGATGCCTCCTGCTGTGTTCTTTTTACTTAGAATTGACTTGGCTATGAGGGCTCTCTTTTGGTTCCATATGAAGTTTAAGGTGGTTTTTTTCCAGTTCTGTGAAGAAGGTCATTGGTAGCTTGATGGGGATAGCATTTAATCTGTAAATTACTTTGGGCAGTATGGCCATTTTCACGATATTGATTCTTCCTAACCATGAACATGGAATGTTTCTCCATCTGTTTGTGTCCTCTCTTATTTCATTGAGCAGTGGTTTGTAGTTCTCCTTGAAGAGGTCCTTTACATTCCTTGTTAGTTGTATTCCTAGGTATTTTATTCTCTTTGTAGCAATTGTGAATGGCAGTTCGTTCTTGATTTGGCTCTCTTTCAGTCTGTTATTGGTGTATAGGAATGCTCGTGATTTTTGCACATTGATTTTGTATCCTGAGACTTTGCTGAAGTTGCTTATCAGTTTCGGGAGATTTTGGGCTGAGACAATAGGATATTCTAGATATACTATCATGTCGTCTGCAAAAAGAGACAATTTGGCTTCCTCCTTTCCTATTTGAATACGCTTTATTTCTTTTTCTTGCCTGATTGCTCTGGCTAGAATTTCCAGTACTATATTGAATAGGAGGGGTGAGAGAGGTCATCCTTATCTAGTGCCAGATTTCAAAGGGAATGCTTCTAGTTTTTGCCCATTCAGTATGATATTGGCTGTTGGTTTGTCATAAATAGCTTTTATTATTTTGAGATATGTTCCATCAATACCGAGTTTATTGAGGGTTTTTAGCATAAAAGACTGTTGAATTTTGTTAAAGGCCTTCTCTGCATCAATTGAGATAATCATGTGGTTTTTGTTTTTGGTTC